AAAAAAAAAAAAAAAAAAGAAAATTAAAAATAGACCTAGCATATGATCCAGTAATTCCACTGCTGGGCATTTACCCAAAGAATACAAAAACACTAATTAGAAAAGATACATGGACCCCTCTGTTTATTGCAGCATTATTTACAATAGCCAAGATACGTAAATAACCCAAGTATCCATCCATAGATGGATGGATAAAGAAGATGTGGTATCCGTATACAGTGAAATATTACGCACCTATAAAAAAAAAAAAGAATGAAATCTTGCCATTTACAACAACATGGATGGAGCTAGAGAAGATTATGCTAAGTGAAACAACTGTCAGAGAAAGATAAATACCATTTAGTTTCACCCATATGTGGAATTTAAGAAACAAAACAGATGAACAGACAAAAATGAGACAAACACAATAGACTCTTAAATACAGAAAGCCAGTGGTTGCCAGAGGGGAGGTGGTGGGGGCGGGGGATACATGAAATTGATAAAGAGGATTAAGAGTATACTTGTTGTGATGAGCACCGAGTAATGTGTAGAATTGTTGAATAGTACACCTGCAACTAATACAATACTGCGTTAATTACACTTCAATAAAAAAAACTTTTTTAAATGCCCACTTAGTGACATGAGCATTGAAAACAGTAAGTGGGGCAAACCAAACACAACAGAAATTCTTGTGCCTGTCACATAAGCCTGGGGGCTCCCAGTCTGTGATCGTAGTCTAATAGATAACTTTCCCTAATACCATCTACATTCACTGTCCTTTTTCCTAATGCCACGGGTACAGGTGCTGAACCTGTTTCTGGCCTTGCTCCTGAGCTCCTTCAGCGCAGACAATCTGGCAGCCACAGACGATGATGGGGAAATGAACAACCTACAGATCTCAGTGATCCGGATCAAGAAGGGGGTGGCTTGGGCCAAACTCAAAGTGCACGCCTTCATGCAGGCCCACTTCAAGCAGCGTGAGGCCGATGAAGTGAAGCCCCTGGATGAGCTGTATGAAAAGAAGGCCAACTGCATCGCCAACCACACCGGCGCAGACATCCACCGGAATGGTGACTTCCAGAAGAATGGCAATGGCACAACCAGTGGCATTGGCAGCAGCGTGGAGAAGTATATCATTGATGAGGACCACATGTCCTTCATCAACAATCCCAACTTGACCGTGCGGGTACCCATTGCCGTAGGCGAGTCTGATTTTGAGAACCTCAACACGGAGGATGTGAGCAGCGAGTCGGATCCTGAAGGCAGCAAAGATGTAAGGCCCCGGCCTAGAACCCAACCTTGACTCTGTGTGAGAACAAGCAGGGTTCTGTCAGCTCCCGGGACTGGTCAGCTGTGGGCCGGGTAGAGAGACTGTGGAATAGCCAAGTAGGTCTGAGAACCAACCCTCATACCCGTTGTCGTTCTAGTCCTTCCCTTGGTGACCTAGGTCCCTGAGGTGCTCCTAGATGTGTCTCCATTGCCGCTGGATCATCTTGGCCAGTGGCCAGAGCAAACCCTGGAGCACGTCCCTGCTATTAATCTCTCTGAGCTGCAGCACTGAGACCAACCAATAGCCATATTTTGTTGAGGGCAGATCACTGTAATCCATGAGTGGCTTTAATGTTATACCCAATCCTGACAGAAGTTTTGAGGGCCAGCTGGTAATTGTGTGCCCCCCGTGAGCTGGACGTTGAGGAGTTTGTAATAAAATTGCAAAGAATTACTGCAGGTTCAGTCAGTGTAGAGGGGAAGTATCGGTGCAGCAGTGGTCCAGCTCTCTTTTCTTTGCGAATCTAGAAACTGGATGATACCAGCTCCTCTGAAGGAAGCACCATCGATATCAAACCTGAAGTAGAAGAAGTCCCAGTGGAACAGCCCGAGGAATACTTGGATCCAGATGCCTGCTTCACAGAAGGTGAAAGGGAGCAGCGATGACGGTGGGCACGTGGCACTTAGTGCTGTCCACAGATTCCCGCCAGGGTCAGTGGTTGGGGGAGGGTGGGGGCTCTGTGGCCATGTTCAGGAACTTTGCTCCCCACCTCATCATCTTGAGGGAAGTTGCTACTGTTTCCCTCGTTTGATTCTGACCTATAGCAAGTTTCTGTTCTCAGACATTTCTTTGTCCATTTTCTCCTGGCATCAGCCCAAACACTTCCATTAGAAAGGCGTGTTCGGTCATGGCTGTGGCTGCCTCCTGACTCCCCTTTTCTCCTCCCTCTCACTGCTTCTTTATAGGAAATCTTCCCAACTGCAGAGGGCCCTGCCCCGCTAGCCTTGCGGCGTAGCCCCAGCCCTGCCAGCCTCCATGTCTGAATCGGGCATTCTGGTTCAGCCACAGTACTCCCGGCTGCGTGGTGGGGCCGCGCCTGGTGGGGCCTGGGAGACCGAGCAGAGGGCAGGTCTGGGCGGGGCTTGCTCCCACGGTCTGACCCGCCTCTCCCGCTGGTGCCAGGTTGCGTCCAGCGGTTTAAATGCTGCCAGGTCAACATCGAAGAGGGGCTGGGCAAGTCTTGGTGGGTCCTGCGGAAAACCTGCTTCCTCATCGTGGAGCACAACTGGTTTGAGACCTTCATCATCTTCATGATTCTGCTCAGCAGTGGCGCCCTGGTGAGTCCAGGGGAGGAGGCGCAGAGGGGCGGGCGGGGGAAGGATTAGGAGGGTCTGGTGGGCAAGACCAAAGGGGGCCCAAGCCCAGTTCCTGTGAGGGCACCAACGGCTGTGGCCCCGAGGATAAGGGTCTGCCAGAGTGCTTCGGGCTGCTGTTTTGAGCCGTTGGGATGAGAGTTCACTTGTCCACATCTTACTCTTTACACTCAGCACGATCCCTCTCACATCCAAGACCCCCTTTCTACCAGGATGAGAGCACAGATTACCAAGTATCTTCACCGCTTCGTTTGCCCTGTTTCGAGCACCTTCCTAAAAGGCACTTCCCCTTTTCACCTAATATCCCGCCTGTCATGTTCTTTATACTTTTCAGTCGCCTGTCTTGCCCCGTGCCCAGCTGGGTCCGGAGCACCCTGGCGTTAGCAAATCCCTGAAGGATCCAGGTCTCTGGCATAAAGGTCTTTTATATTCCCATGGCTGGAAGCGCTCGGCATTCATCAGCGCGGCACAGAGGCCCCCCCCCCCCGCCAGAATAAAGGAGCTTGGCATTTGCTCTCCTTTTCACGGGATGATAACCAGAGACCTGGACAGGGTCAGGTGTGAGAGAGCTGTTTCCCAGCGGGGTAGATTTGAGGACAGGAAGGACGTAGAGACTCTACACACATTCCTCCTTTGAGTTAAGGGAAAGCTGAAGAATATAGAACTTTGAAGTATTTTTAAAGAAGGCAGGCATGGGGTACGCCTGGGTGGCCCAGTCGGTTAAGCATCCAACTTCAGCTCCAGTCATGATCTCATGGTTCATGAGTTCAAGCCCCAAATCAGGCTTTACGCTGCCAGTGCGGAGTCTGCTTGGGATTCTCTCTCTCTCCCTCTCTCTCTCTTTCTCAAAATAAATAAACTGTAAAAAAAAGAATAGCAAAGTGAAGCCACCGCTAAAATGTCTCAGAAAAAATGAGAACGGGATTAAAGCGGGCCTGCAGAGGGACGGGATAGAGCCTCCAGTGACGGGAAGCTCAGTCTTGGGCGTCTCACGTGTATTGGGCGACAGAACCGATCTCTGCACAGGGAGGGGAGGGGCACTAGACATGGAAGCTTTTGAGGTTTTCACTGAGCAGAGGGGGGTTATTTGTACCCAAACCCTGAGGAGGACCCCTGACCTCTGCCCCCACTGCCCAGTGAAGAAACTGGAATACCTGATGTCCATGTGTGTCCATGTTAGAAATGTATCCACAGGCACTCCGATTCTGTCCTTCCTTCCAGAACCATCTGGAGCAGGACACAGGACTTTTGTGCCACTTGTAGCTTTCTCTCATGCTTCAGGACTCCCTCTTCCCCGTCTCCCTCCACAGCCCACCACCCCACTCGTGGGAATGCTCATACCTTCGTGTTAGGGAATTCCCTCGTTCGGGAACTCCAGAGGGAGAAAGTCGTACTAAGATTTTCTTCGCCTGAGCGTCTCCCAGCCCTGTGACCCTCCACCTGTATCGGTGGCATCAGACTGAAAGGAGAAACGATTTTGTCATACAAACATAGTGTTGGCAAGGACACAGAGAAGCTGGAACCCTCATACGCTGCCCAAGGAAACAGAGTGTCCATCAGTGATGAGAGTAGACAAAGTACGGTAGGGCCACACCTTGGAGTATTCTCCATCCATGGTGAGAACTGCAGTAGTGACGCGTGCTGCAGCATGGACAAACAAGAGACCGCTGCGCCCGGTGGAAGAAGCCTGTCACCGAGGGCCACATATTGTGTAAAGGGTCCAGAATGGACAGATGGGAAGAGAGACGCTAGCTCACTGGTTGCCTGGACTACTGGGAAACAGAAGGTGGCGGCTAGAGGGTGTGGGGTTTCTTTTAAGAAGCCCGGGGGGGAGGGGGAGGGGGGGCGGGCGCCTGGGTGGCTCAGTCGGTTAGGCGCCCGGCTTCAGCTCGGGTCATGATCTCACAGTTTGTGGTTCGAGCCCCGCATCAGGCTCTGTGCTGACAGCTCAGAACCTGGAGCCTGCTTCAGATTCTGTGTGTCCCTCTCTCTGTCTGCCCCTCCCACACTCACACTCTGTCTCTCTGCCTCTCAATAATGAATAAATGATTAAAAATTAAAAAAAAAGAAGAAGCCCATGTAGCCCGGCAGTGGGGTAAAAGAGCCAGGAAGCTGATGACAGGCCAGCCTCAGGCGGTGGAGCTGCCGAGGCGCTGGGAGGCTTTCAGTGTCCTGTGCCTGCCTTCAGGCACATCAGGCAGCTGCTGCTTCTCTTTCAGGCCTTCGAGGACATCTACATTGAGCAGAGAAAGACCATCCGTACCATCCTGGAGTACGCCGACAAAGTCTTCACCTACATCTTCATCCTGGAGATGTTGCTCAAGTGGACGGCCTATGGCTTCGTCAAGTTCTTCACCAATGCCTGGTGCTGGCTGGACTTCCTCATCGTGGCTGTACGTGTCCTGCTTTCTACTGCCCACCCCTTCCAGCAGGGAAACAAACACAGGGATGTGCCTTCCTCTAACGGCCAGAGTTGCCCGGGGACATAGGATGTCGGACAGGATGTAGATGTAGGTTTGGGTTACAGTTCCTTTCAGGGCACTCAGATCTTAGCTTTGGGAGAGGGAGCTCTGAAGCCCCTACACTTGCCCCAGGGACTAACGTCCCGGGCTCTTTGCTTGGGTGGTTTGGCTTCAAAGAGTCAGCGATGAGGAATGGGAGGTGGAATCACTAGCGCCTTGCTAGTAGGCTGGGAACAGGAAGGTGCTTGCCCCACACCAGCAGGACATCCTCTTTCTGGTGCCAGGAGAGGGGTGAGGATGAGGGGGGAGCTGCTGGGGTATGAGCTGGCGGGGCGGATCTCGGCAGGCTTTCTCGCTGACCGTTCCTACGGACACTCCCATCAACCCAAGGCTTTGTACCAGACTCTTCGGAACAAGGCAGGCTGTCCAGAAGAGGCAGAGTTCACATCAGAATACCCCGCCCTCTTCCCACACATTGCCGTTTCCACAGTGGTGCTCAAACTTAAAAGCATCCTTTTTTCCTCTAGGTTCCAAGGCTATCTCCAGGACATGGCGGCCTCTGATCATCCGCAAGGCTTGGTGGCCATTACCTCCCATTTTATTTTTCAGGGTGGAAGCTGTATCACCTGTAACTATTTCTCACCTCCCCCGCCCCCCCAGCCCTTGTTCCCCAGTGGCTCTTCTAACCGTGATGAATGCTTCTTATTCTATGTAATCACTAAAGCTCTTTTCTTCTAGCCAAATCAGCATTTGAAAGAAAGGGCAAATGAGAATTCCAGGACCAGGGCCTGTGGAGAATTCACTTCCTGCTGAGGGCAAAGTGCCAAGAAAGTGGAGTGTTTGGAGGCTGGCTTGGCACGTTGAGAATATAGGTTTTCTCAGCTGTATAGTGAGCTACCTGTAGAGCACCTCTGGGATCCAGAATAGAGCGGCGTGGAAGCCTCTCTTAGAAAGCAGGAGCCCAGCCCTCGGCACCAGGGATCTCTGCTCTATAAATGCATTCCTGTTCCAACAGGGTGTCTGCAGCTTCCGTGGTTAAGGACTCCCAGGAGCTGTCACTCTGCTCCCTTTTGCATTCCCTTTTCAGAAGTCAAGCCTTTGGGAAGATGCCCAAATGAGATGAGGAAATCACCCTCTGCCCTGAAAGTCAGCCAAGCAGAGTGACACTTGGGCACTGCCCAAAAGAGTGCCCATGTGAAACCCCTTCAGCAACTATTGCTGGGACCTTCTTATGACCTCCCACAGATGGAAAGCTTGAGCTCTAAGAATTAAGGAAAGGGCTTGGGATATGGCGCGGAGAACTAAAGTGGCACTGGGCCAGCTCTCTTTCCACAGAACAGGACCACTTGGAGTCGGGTGGGACACCTCTGGGAGTCCCAGAAGCCCCTCATCTTCTGGGCCTTCCAAGAACAGATAATCCACTACTATACTTCCAGTAGCCCTCAGGAAGCTGTGATTTAGAGCAGATCTTCCCCGCCATGACCTTTACTTCCTGTCCCCGCCCCAACCTGAACTACTGTTTCTCTTCTCTCTGGGGTGGGCAACCCCAGAAGTCAAGGGTATTGATCAGGAGTCCCCCCATTCCTCTGGAACCCAAATAAGCTGATAAAAGCATTGACAGTCCTGCACATCACCATGTATGTAGTAATAAGCATTTTTATCCCTTTTTCTACCAGGTGGCAGAGAAATGGACAGACATGTAGCCAATTGACAGTAGTCCATAAACTACCCCACTTTAGGGAGTTGCTGGATTCTTATGTTGCCTTGAGACCTCACAGCGGCTCCTGAGAACATCCCTATACCGGCTCTTAGTAAACAAATATAAACCAAATGCCATTCGCTGTGTAGAGTTGTCCCAGAAGCCAGAGTGGGTCACGAGGGGCCAGCAGGCATGGCCCCAGCCCCTCAGGCACTCACGCCAGCTTGCAGGACCACTCTGGCCTGATTCTGGCTTGTGGGAAGCCAGCATTCTGGGAACAAGTTTCTCCCAGGACCCTCCCACCCACTGACTTCTCTTGGTAAGGACGGTACATTGAGTACCAAATGTTTATTGAGCACGCACAACACGCAAAGCCTCCTGCCAGGTGCCTTCTGCCAGAAACCAAAAGACATGGACACTTCCCTCGAAGGGCCTGAAAACACAAATAACCACAGTACAAAGCCAGGCGTGCTGAGTGGGAGCAGCCCCAGTCCATACCGTGGCTGAGCTATTTGCCACTCCTGAGTGTGACTTGAGAATGCAGAATCAGGCTCAGAGGCCGCCTGCCCAGCTGGAACCGTTAGAGTTTTCACTGTCCAGGTCCTGTGGCATTCTAGAACATCTAGCAGGCATAAATTTTAAGTCCTACTTTAGCACCATCTCTGAGAGACACTCTTCCTCCCATGTCGTCCGCCAGAGACTAGATGTCCGAATCTGTTACTCAGCACTATGTCTGTGTCCCAATGGAGTCTTATTCCTCATGTTACTCCTTACATTTAGCTGCTAAGAGTACTTTTTAGAATCCCAGGGATAATCCAGACAACTTCCAAGGTCAATTCTCTTTGGTTATAAGCCATGTGAATTCCCAAACAGAGACAGCGTTTTATTTTGCTCAGGTCCTGGGCTGCCCTGGAGATCTTGTCCTGTAGAAGAATCTCGTCCAATCTTTCCCCCAGGGAAATTTGCCCCATCCTGTCCGGAGGTTAGCCAGCATATCGGTTCCAGGGATGGGAACTCTCAGAGACCACTCATCCTGCTTTCAGACTATTACCAACATTCTCCATTTGAAAATGTTCACATCATTTGGAAAAAGTCATGCAGCGTCTCCCTTTTTTTCCATTCCGGCAGCCATACATACCCTGAATTTTGACTTCCCCTCAACTCCTTTCTTTTTTCCAGGCTTGGTTCTTTCCTCAAAACATACTTTCAGCAATGATCTGATTATCTCCAGGGAGAGTTTAACATGGGGACTCGGATTGTCAGAGCACCCTGAGCAGCTAAGGAACAGTCTAGATAGGACCCTTGCTGACCCTGCCTCGGGAGATCTTAGCTAGATTAATCAGTTGAGCACCACATCATATCATGGAGCCAGCCTCCCGACCGGCATCTGTACCTCCATCCTTCTCCCCACCTCAGGCCCCTTTGTGATCAGATTAACCACCACCCTCCCCCGAAGAGCCGGGATCTTCCTGCCATGTGGGGGGCCCATCGCCCCTCAAACCTTAGTGTTTTGCAGTCTTTACATGGCATAATTTCTCAGGATGAGGTCGACTCAGGAGTATTTTGAACTCAAGACACTTGGCCGGGATGGGATAGCTTACCTTCAGATGTAATAAGGTCTTGCTAAGAATCTGGCGATTTCAGATTATTTGGGGTTAAGAGTTGGCTGCACCTGGCAATAATAGGCAAAAGATGCCTCCATGTAGATTCTTAGTGATAATGATGAATGGGAGGGAAATGATTGGTGCTACTGTGTTCTAGATGAAGCTTTTGAGGCCCTTCTTGTAGACAGAAATTGAACCCTGAACCATGTACCCTTCAGAGAACGTGAGGAAATAGGGCAGGCTTTAAGGCCAGACGTGCTTTGGATACTGCCCAGGACTCCGGGGAAGATACCTACACTGATGCATTATGAGTCCATGCATAGATAATGGGTGACACCCCTTTGTAAAAATTGAAATCTTAGAGCCTGCTCATCCCTTTCCCTCCCTAGGTCACTGACATCTACTTCTGTCTCCCACTAGTCCTGCCGCTTAATTATAAAAAATACATTTTTTTTAAAAAAGGTTTTGTACGGTTCAGAGATCCAGAATTAAAGCCCTCAACTAGAGAGAAAAACCGACAACCGAAACTCAGTTGTAGTTTGTTTCCATGTTTCTCCTCTACATCTGCTTTCGCATATCAATTTAGGCTGAGCAGGTCTGTAACCACCACTTGCCAGGAGAGGGAACTTGAGAATGCTTGATGGGAACATCTGAACCTATCCCAGAATGTGCGGTGCAGTACCAGGGAAAGACTGCTCCAAGGAACCCAGAGACCAGACGTTTTAGGATTTGATCAGCTACAGGCGCTTTCCTTGGGTGGGAAGTCCGGTCAGGCCTCCCAGTTCAGGCCTGGGCAGCCCTAGGTATGCTTGGCATCCCGTGTTCTGGGACCACGTGGTAACAGCTCTGAGCCCCCTGGTAGATCACGGTGAGTTTGTCTTAAGGAACAGGAGGGCATTTGACCATCACGACTGCAGGCCTGGAGACTTGCACATTTCTCCCTAGCCCGGCGATTTAGTCAACCCCAGACTGTTCAGATATCGGCAGCCCTCTCTTGCAGCAACTCCATTTTACCTGCCAGGAGAAGGGGTGAACTCTCTGTGGAGGAAGGAGCTCTGGCCTGGGAAGCAGGAGAGTGGGTCCCTATTCCTGGTTCCAGAACTGCCCCTGTGACACTGGGCACTCTCTCGTGTATGGGTCTCAATTTCCTCACCTGTAAATAAAATGTTTAAATTCTTCCAAGAATTCCACCAGCCGTTTTTCTAATGATGAGAGCAGAAGATTGTTCTGGAAAGGACAGACCCGAGGCCAGTTCATCTTGAGCTGTTCTGGAGAGACAGAATGGGGATTCTAAGGAAAAGCACGGGTTCTGTTTTCAGACCACCACCCTCCTCCCCCAAGCTCTCATGGCCGTGAAAGAGTCATGTTTGTCGTTCAGAGATGGAGGGATTATTGTAGCTGAAAGTCAGAGAGAAAAGAATTGCTTGGGTGAGTTCTCGTGGGGCCAGAACTCTGCCTAGAAACCGCTTCCTTTGGTTCTTTTCATCTCGGGAGCTGCAAGGCCAGCGGTGGCGCTTACTGGACGTGTCTCCTTTGTTGATGTGGTAACTCGTCACGTTCTCCAGCAAATGGTTCCTCGCCAACCAGCCGCAAGAGAGCTTGTCCCTGTTGGAAATCCGCGGTGAATGAACTGAGGAGAGGGGGCAGCTTGTGTGGAGTGTGTGTATTTATCTGTATTCTTTTCCATAGGTACCATTAAGTTTGTCTGGCTTAATTTAATGGCAACTTCTGGGAGCTGCAGAGGCTGTAAAGGGCGAGGGTAAGGTTTATTGTCATCTGTTCAGGCTCCTCTCCTTCCAATGGAACGTCCTCATTCCCCCGCTCCCTTCGGCCTCTCCCCTTTGCCAACCTGTGTGTGCGTTCTACTGCCTCCTCTCGACTTTCTCTTCCCCCTGTGTTTTTTCTTCTGCCTCTCAACCTCCTTTCCTTTCAGGTCGTTTGAGTCCAAGTTGAAGTAGGCAGCTGGTGTTACCCACTCTCTCTACCTGGGGGCGGGGGCGGGGCCCAATCTGTGTAATCAGTGCTAGGGGCTTTATTCTAACACTCTGGAACCTCTTTTCTTTTTTTTTTTTGTTTTGTTTTGTTTTGTTTCCTTTTTTGTTTTTGTTTTTCTCTTCTGTTTCCGTGTAGGTCTCTTTAGTCAGCCTTATAGCTAATGCCCTGGGCTACTCGGAACTAGGTGCCATAAAGTCCCTTAGGACCCTAAGAGCTTTGAGACCCTTAAGAGCCTTATCACGATTTGAAGGGATGAGGGTAAGAAACGAAGAGCAGCTGATCCTTCTGCATGCCGATGGAAACTGTTTACGCATGCTAGAACTGATCACACGGTGGGAAGATCGCTCAGACTCGAACTGTGATGCAGCTGCTGATTTGATCCTCCACTCTCTCCCCGCACCTGCCCTGTGCGAGGGGGGGCCGCCTCAAGCTGCCTCATCACATTAATATGGGCCCCACCCCGACACTGTGCCATCGCAGAATATGTTAACGCTGGCTACTCTCATTTGGCCTGGCTTACCTGTAGCACTCGGGGCGGCTTTCCGGGCTGTTGACTTTAATAGGGAGAATCACCAGGTGCAAAGAAGGGGAATTGTAACCCACAGACCCACTGAAAAGCAGAGGCCGCAGACAGGGCGAGTGCCGTGTAGGGGCATCAGCCAGGTGGGGGCTGTGGCCTTGCAGGCACTGAGAAGGCGTCTGAGAAGGGGCTGGAAGGCATGATGGCAGGCCTGGAATTGGGAGCGGAGCCGAATGTGGCATAGCCCTGGGAAAAGAAATGCTTTTCTTTCTACTCTGATTCCTCTTATTGCACCTTGTTGTTCTCAGCCCAGTCCCATAAGGACTGGCAGCCTCTGTCTGACAGTAAAGCTTTCCTCCTTCCCCACCCCCACCCCTCTGTCCACGCTCTGTGGTCCCCTGTCCTGAACACTGTCTAAAGAACCATCAGGCACAACACCAGATGACTAGTCAGCTAGTTCTCCTGAAATTTCCACTGTTCCTGCTTTGGTGATACTCCACCCGGGTCTCAGCGGGGCAAGGTGCTGTCACCCAGCCAACTTAGGAACAAGGCTCCCTCTTGCTGTCTCTCTTGATTTAGAACGATTGTGCGTGTGTGCGCGCGTGCGCGCATACGCACACACACACGTTAAAACAGTCAATTTCCTAAAACCAAGTGGGCAACTGGCTCTTGGTGGTGATAGTTGTCCTGCGGTAATCAGAGAGGTCTGTTATACTTAACGAGACCAAGAAAACTCATTTCAATTCAGATGTCGAATACATGCAGGAGAGCAAACCAGGGGATATGTTTTGAAGTGACCGAATCTCAGAATGTAGGAAGACAAATTAAATGGTTCCGGTGGTCCCCAGGAAGCAAGGCTAATTGGAGGAACTAGGTACCAGGAAAGTCTTCCTTCATGCGTTCCTCACCTGTGATCCCTGGCCGCCATCCCACAAAGCCACCCACAGTTGTCCAGGAAGGTGGAAACTTTGCTGCGATTTGGGGGTCTTTCTGTGTTTATTCAGACACCTGCTTCTCGCAGCAGAGTGTGCTTCTCAGGTAGCACAGTCACAGTGTGCTTTACTGAGTATAAGCTTCCTGCAGCCCACCTGAGGGCATCCGCAGGAGGTCACCGCCACAGCCACACAGACTCCCTTTAATTTTAAAAAGCAAAGCAGAGCTGGGGGGTGTCTTTCTCCCAGCGATAAGAGATTTCACAATGTGTGCAGTAAGGTCACTGTTCTGCTCAGGCCAGGTTTAGGGTGAGCGAAGGAGTATGTATATATACTGGTTAAATTTTTTAAATAAGTCCCGCCAGTTTTGTTAGAGTGTTGATCATCTGTTTTGGCGACTGGGTTACCCAGGACTGGAAGAAGGCTGTTGCAGACAGTACTTGCCCCCTGACAGCCAAGCTCAGTAGCCTGAGCTCCCCTCCATAGCCCCCCAGCAGTGATCCTGGGCCTCCTAAACCCAGACCTGAAGAAAGCCCAGGAGAAAAATGCCCAACTGACACTTGGCTACTAACTTTCTCCATCTGGATCTCATCGCTGCCAGTCCTAGCCCATGGCAGAAGTAGGCCTCGTTGACCAGCTGGTGCCAGTGCCCAGGAGGAATTTATTCCAATAATCTGGTCGCAAGAGCCCTTTTGGAGGCCACGCCTCTTCCCTTTGGCCCCTCCCCCTTTCCTGGACTCAGTTTCCATTCCCCACAAACTTTCAGCTGCCAACTTTCAAGTAGTTTAGGAACGCAAGGTCCAAAAGCGGTGATCAGAAGAGCAGAAAGTTTTCTTTGAAAAAAAGCACTTGAAAGTGAAACCTCTATCTCCAGGTTTTCTCAATTCGGATACCGTGAGCAAAACCCAGCTAGAACCCAAAGCCAGGCTTTCCAACAGTGCGTCCTGTAAGGGAAGGTCTGATGCAGGGTCTACAGGATCGCCACTTGGTTTGGTTGACTCCAGTCAGCCAGCGGCACTGTCCACCTCTGGTCGGGTGGGGGAGGGCTCCGGAGCCCATCCTGCCCTGCAGTTTCCCAGCCCTTCTGCAGAAGAGTAACTGCAAGAAGAAAAGATTGAATCCGCCTGAGCTTATAGTAAGTTTCCCAGCGACAAGCAGAATTAGGTGTATCCATTTTATATGAAGGTTACTTTTCTGTGGGGCCATATGTTTTCCATTCTTTGGTTTGGGCACTTCCATATGCCGACACTGAGAGATTATCCTTAGAAAATGTTAGATAAGAAATCTTCCCAAACCAAATGCCACCAATGCAGGTGGGCTCCACTGTCACTGTGCTGCTCCAAAGATAGGCCCAGACCTTCCTTTGGGAGGAAACGTAGGGCCCTAGCCTGTCCTGGGACAGTCTTTCCTCTCTCCTTCCTCAAACCAAACACCGGAACATTGAAGCACTCATGCTATTGGCAAAGGAATACTTCATGTAGTTCTTTGCTTTTCTCTCCTCCATAGTAATCTCCGTTTAAAGATTTTGCTGTGCTACTAAATTTTTGAGGGTATATAATGCTATGAAACATGCATGCATTTTTGTTGATTGTCAGTACATAGTTGTCCATTAAAGCCATGTTCCCTCTGCCAGATATTAAAAGCTATTTGACAGATTTTATAGTATTTAAGGAGCAATAATGTTCTAGGCATCATGAGAAGACAACAATGCTGTAAGAATTAGTATCCTTAGCAATTTTTTCGTCAGTTGAGTGAGATCTGAATCAATCATTAGGTATAAATTTCCACTGGGAAAAAAAAAAAGTGACTTTATGGATTGCTAGAAGCAAGCTTTGAGTAATGTTTCTGTACCTAGTTTTTACACAATGAATTTCATCATAACTAAAGGCAATGTAGACTAACTTGAGAGTTACTAAGGACCAACTTATGAAGCGACTGTGGAAACTTGAATTGCCATTTACATTTACCTATAGCGTGAGAGTTCAAGAAAGCATGGTTTCTTGCCCTTCGGTTGCTGAGAATATCAACACAATGACAATTATATGTGGAGCACACAGTTCAGCAGTTTCCACTACTAGCTAATGTCTACAGCCAGGAAGAATTATTAGTAAATGGTTTCAACCGTTTACTATTTAACACATCAAACTAATCTAAGAAGTTGTTCTTTGTTTATAATTAACCATTGAAAATACATTTACATCGTGTAAATGGATTTTATAGTGTTTTATCGGATTCTATAGGATTTTTACGTCCTATATATCAGAGACTAAGGCTCAGTAAATACTTCCATGTATTGATTTTTTTAATCAGATCCATGAATGTAAAAGTGGGAAGAGGTCACTTTGTTAATTAGCTGATTATTCTTCCCTGCTGTAAATATTACTCCGTATTTAACTCTAACAGGTAACGCCATGTAGTACAGGTTAGACTGGGTTAAGGTAGAAGAGTTCCAAGAGGAGGTGGGTTCTGAATTGAGATAAAATGCCACCTTTCCAGGTTTCCAGTCTTTTGGGGCTACTTCCCTGCTGTACACTCGTGATGGTCTACTAGGTCGTGATCTCTCACCTAAGCTCTCTTGCAAAATGCTGTCACATAGACCTGAGCTTCTGAACCTTGATAATCTACTTGTTGCCACCCGAGAAATGATTATTCCATTTATAGATCATCCTCCTTTGCCTCTTCATTCGCACATTTCATTGCTTTCTGGTGCTCTACCAAAGAGTGAGCAACTGTAGAATAAGGAGGTAAAATTCAGACCTGACCACCTGCCAACTTTGGTAACTTAAATAAATAAAAAAAACATGAATACCATTCTCCAAAGTAACATTGGGGATTTTCCACATTTCAGATATTCTGGCTTGCCTCCCTCAACGTAGCGAACAGTGGAAGGGTCACCATTTTATACTAATGACAGAGCTATTAATTCTAAAAGAGATTTCTTGGTCTAAGAATTAAGAAATAACTACCTCTCAATTTAAAGGCCTTCATCTATGAATTGGAGAAATGCAAAACTAATATTTTAATCTAAAGGAGAGTGACTCCTTAGCACAATGACAATTGCCTTTTCTGTAGAGGACAGAACAGCCCTTCTCAGCCACACTTTCCAATGAGTGACATTGCAATCTAAGGCAAGAACAGAAGAGAAGGAAAACCCAAACCCAAGTCGAATAGAGCCCAGAGCTGCCCCCTGGCGTTCCTTCCACAGCACAGCCCTTTCGGCCCTTTCGATGACTGTGCTTATTGGCAGCGTGCCCTTGCCTCTTCCCTGCTGATCCCTGAACATGGTGACACCTCTCTCACCTCCTTCTAACAAAACATTAGAAAGCTGTGTTTATATCCATTTTTTTTTTATTTTAACTCCATTTTAATTTTCCCAGGATATTAGGAAAAGAAAGACACGTTCTTCCTATCTCAGGGTCACCTTTCTGGGCCTTAGTCCCACTTAAGACAACAGCAAGTAAGAATCAGGCCAGAATGAACATCAGCCTTGTTTTCTGTCCCAGTCTGTTGAAATGCTATTTTTGTAAGCCCTTTGAACTCCCCTGGTGAAAATCGCCGCACAGTGGAAGTGTTGTGTCGCTACTCTCACCTATAGTGTGAATCAAAACCAAAGTTAAAAACAACCCAGAAACTTTGATTCCTGAAGGGTTTTTTTTTTCCCTTTGCCTTTTTTCATTCCTGAGCTTAACTGCAGTCAGCGATTTTTAACAATATGGTTTTGGGGTTTCAAGAGCAGTGATCTAGCCCAAAACTGTCCAGAAAACATAAGTCATTCCTATTTCGAATACATTGTGAGGAGTTGAGTCCAGCCCTGGATTGAACAGAGAGACATCAATCAGCATTAGCCAAACATGGGCGACTCTTAGAAGCCTGTGGAGTCAGGAAAAAACACTGAAGAAGAATAGTGAACCTTGAGTGAAAAATACATCTGTTCAGATTTTATTTTATTCTGTTTGGTAGAGGGAATATAGCTTTCTTTTTTTTTTTTTTTTTTCTTGAGCCTGCAAAATATGCATGCTCAGCTATTGCCTGAAATAAGATAACTGGCCTTGCATAAAAGAGACTTTATGTACCATTGACTGATTCCCTGCTAACCCCAAAGGGTAGTTCTCTGTGATTTTGAACAATTCTACCTTGTTTTGCAGAGGGGGAATGTCTGTTGAAAGGCAACTGGTGAGCTTGAAATCAGATTTCCCCGTGGGGGCATATTTTACGAGTTGGCAAGGAGGGAGACTAGACTAAGAAATAACTTTTTCAGTCCCAGGCTGGGGCCCGGGAGAGAAGCCCTAGGTCAACTCGGGCAGGGGAATTCATGTGAGATGAAATAAATATGTAATTTACTGGAATTCCTCAAAATATATCTTACAGATTTAGAAAAATCTTGGTCCTACTTGTGGATCTGTCCAGTTACCCTAACTCCAAAGGGAACACAATGTTTTTGTAGTCAGCACAAGCCACACAGTATCATTCCCCTCCTGGAAATCAAAAGAATGTGCTCGCCCTTACTTCCAACACTCAGCAACCTCCCCCTTCCAATGCAGGTGGTGGTGAATGCTTTGGTGGGCGCCATCCCCTCCATCATGAATGTGCTGCTGGTGTGTCTCATCTTCTGGCTGATTTTCAGCATCATGGGAGTTAACCTGTTTGCGGGAAAGTATCACTACTGCTTTAATGAGACTTCTGAAATCCGATTTGAAATTGAAGACGTCAACAATAAAACGGAGTGTGAAAAGCTCATGGAGGGGAACAACACAGAAATCAGGTGGAAGAACGTGAAGATCAACTTTGACAACGTTGGGGCAGGCTATCTGGCACTTCTTCAAGTGGTAAGCCTCGCTGCTTTCTCCCATCCTGTGAAATTCAGGCAGCTAGCAGAAATCGCATCTGGTTCCTTCTCAGTATGACATTCAGAATCAGGATTACTCTTTCTTTTTTAATGTTTTTTTATTTATTTCTGAGAGAGAGAGAGAGAGAGAGACAGTGTGAGCAGAGGAGGGTCAGAGAGAGAATGAAAAATACAAGATCCAAAGCAGGCTCCAGGCTCTGAGCTAGCTGTCCGCACAGAGCCCGATGCGGGGCTCGAACCCACGAACCGTGAGATCTTGACCTGAGCCGGAAGTTGGACGCTTAACTGACTGAGCCACGCAGGCGCCCCTAGGCTTACTCTTAACAGGTCACAGAGAACAGTGTCGTTTCCCACACCAATTCCAGGGAGACGCCTTTCCTGAGAATTCTGACTTCCCCAGGACCTCACTCAAAGGGGATCTCACTGTACTCAAGGGCAGACTCCTGGCCATTTTGATTTAGCAGAATAATCCTGCGTAACAGCTACGCTAAGCCAACTAAGGGAAAGAATGGGGCAATGCTAGGGTGCTGCCTCTCGTGTCCGCTCAACCCCAAGAGAAAGGTCTCAAATTAACATATCGCAGTAAGAAAGGATTTATTTTAGCATGCCTTCGTGTCTGGTTTCCTCTTCCACCCTTACCAGTCTTTTTTGGAAGGTTTGACAAGACCGTCTGGTGCGGAGGGAAAGCTCCTAGCCTTTAGAGTCAGCTGATATAGGTTTGAGCCAAACTCTGACATTTACTGGACATGTAACCTTGGACAAATGACTCGACTTCCCTGGGGCTGTTTCTTTTTCTGGTAAATGTCGGTAATGATACCTTGCGCCACTGCTAAGAGGATTCATGATAATTAGTTACAATTTCTTAGCACAGTGCCTGGCACGTAGCAGTCCTTAACGAATGGCATTTGCTATTAAGTATTTTTGTTACTATCACAACTGCACCTGCATCGCATAGCCGTTGGGGGTATTAAATGGGATAATGCAGGTGAAGCCTTCAACTTGACCTTACCGATAGTAAGCACTTACTGTTAGCTAGTATTAGGAGGCAAGGTTAATAGAATAAGCAGTGCTTTATCCCACTCCGGCGTCTTTTGTTGTTTTATCCCGGTGGGAGAAATCAGACCCACAAATTGAATCTGAACTGGAGCAGCTCCAGGAGACCAATGCACATCACCCAGTCAGACATTGTATTTAAAGTTCCACCATGTGCAAGGTGCTGTGCTTGGCACTATTAGGGGCCATCTGATAACTAAAGAACCACCCGTGCCCTGAAAAAGCTTTGAATCTGGTTGAATAAAACAAATAAGAACAATAAGAAAACATAGAGAATACTGAATCACTTAACTGTATTTGTTTCCAAAAAGAGGCGAGGTAGAGTAGACTGAAGGAGAGAGTGCAGTTAGGAAGGGCCGCCTGGAGAGAGGCCAAGATTGCCGTTGCCATAGGCTAAATGTGTAGGGTAGTAAGGGAAGAGTTCTGGCCTTGTTTTTGTTTTTATTATTTTTTTAGTGCAACTTTGAAGTTTGCAGGACCCCCCCCCCCCCCCCATTGCTTAAAAATGACTCCTCGGCAGTAGGCTAAGTTCTCAGTACCTGCAGTGGATTCCCGCCACTTGTTCATAAATGTGAGTTTGCCCTTAGCTTTAGGCAACCTTCTCAGGCCCATTGTAAAGACCTTTTGTGAAGGTATCGATCCAGTTACCGTTACCAACGTGTTTCTCCACCAGACTTTGGTGTTATTTTCAGGACCTTAGACAAAGCCCCCTCGGGACCTGTATTAACATACAGGAAATTCTGTGTCCCTGTGAGGCTGTACCCAAATTGCGTCTTGTGTCCTCACTGAACCTGAGCCTCCCCTCTGGGACCCCCGCATAGACGCCCACCTACCCCCTAACAGGCACAGTCTAATGACTGACTCTCTTTGCCAGGCGACCTTCAAAGGCTGGATGGACATCATGTATGCAGCCGTAGATTCCCGAAAGGTAAGGATACACCTGGCGAAACCACAGCCTTCCTAGGTGGCTAGAAAGCAAGCAGCATGGTGGCGCTTACTAAGAAAGAGAGGGTTGGGGCACGTATTTGCTTGTTTTATTGATTACAGGTCATTCTCCTCCTCTCAATCATCACTCCCTTACACTGGTTCCAGAAGATTAGGGGCTGAGTTTTATGTGGCCCCAGTGGCGCCCTCTCCCACTGACAGAAGTGTGGCTCCTGGCGGACAGCTCAGCCGTCCCCTCCCGCCTCGCCTCGCGCTTTGCACATCCACCACACCAGTCCTTCCCAGGGCAGTGTGGCAGAGGGGACGGGCGGAGAGGATGTAGGGCACCCTCCCCAGCTCGTGCAGCAGCTTGGGTGGTCAGCTCTGGCCGAGGGCGCTGACATGTCACAGTCACCCACCTGATCCCACGCTAGGAACTGACACTCTGCTTTTTCCTCCTGTCTTTTGACAGCCTGACGAGCAGCCTAAGTATGAGGACAACATCTACATGTACATCTACTTTGTCATCTTCATCATCTTCGGCTCCTTCTTCACCCTGAACCTGTTCATTGGTGTCATCATCGATAACTTCAATCAACAAAAGAAAAAGATAGGTCTCCTCCCCTCATTGCCAGTGGCCAGCGGTCAACCTGGATGAGAGGCACTTCTGTCCCTATGTCTAGAAAGAAAATGCCTCTCTCTAAATTCCACATGATCGCCTCACAGTGATTTGCTAGGCATTTGCCCCACCCACCTCTTTCTGTTGGGGGCTAGATTTCACAGCGGGTGGTTTCCCACATTTACGAGCAGTTGTTGAGGCCTTTACTGGGGTAGGCATCCCGCCAGAGGGAGGCAGGGTCAGAGGCAGTCTAGGGGTGAAAACGAAAGCATCAGGTGAATAACTAGCAAGAAGTGGAGCATGTTCTAGACCCGTAATTACCCGTGGTGATCCCTGGGCTCCCCTAGCAAAGTGGGATTTGAGAGACCATCCTCGGAAAGTCCATTCACTTACTTGCTCCAGATGGTTAACGATTTTTCCACAACAAACTGAAGCACTGACTCCTGTCGTCCGTGTTATAAAACAAGGCTGTGTCAAGGAACTCCCCACGTTGTTTCCCTGCACTCAGATTTCTGAAGGTTTAATAGTGTTGGAAGTAAACGGGCCAATAACCGGGACTTGAAAATACTTTCATTTTAAAATGCTGGGGTTTTTTAGAATTTTATCAGGAAGGCAGGTCCAGAAAATATGTGTGAGCCCATGAGATGCAAGCATCCCGGCTCTCAAGTGTCCTCTTCCCTGAGGGCCCGCAGTCGCGTAGTCCGTCTCCTTTGCGCCCAGCCACTGGCCAATCTCAGGAATCCCAAGCCTCAGACAGAGGCTGGTGTTTCTTTGAATTAGAATAGTTGCCCCAGGTCTACCTCGTTAGGGGGCAGCTAGCTAAACTGACCTCTGGAAAGGTAAGAGGGTAAGGCCACCCTCAGTTCGTAGGATTGGACCGTAGGTCCGAGCCAGAGCATGAGAGAGCCTATTGTAATTGTTCCTTCTCTTCTTTCTTCCTTTACTTTGGAGGCCAGGACATCTTCATGACCGAAGAACAGAAGAAGTACTACAATGCCATGAAAAAGCTGGGCTCCAAGAAACCACAGAAACCCATTCCCCGCCCCCTGGTGAGTGCAGGCTGAGGCCAGAGTGAGACCCCATACGGAAAAGACCCTGGTGGGGTTATTGCAAAGGAAACAAAGGGGTAAGTGATGAGCCTCCTGTGCGCTCTGGTCCTCACCCAGCTGACCCCTCCAAAGGATCTGGGCGAAACAGCAGAACAGGGATAAAGGTATGGGATGGCTGTTATATTTGTGCCTGACCTTTCCTCTGAGACTTCCTTGGGCAGCAGCAGAGAAGCAGCGTGTTATGGCCACATCGGCTCTGGCACTGATGGAGAGATGTCTTGAGAGACAGCTAAAAATTAACAAAGGACAGTGACCATGAAAGCTGACCTCTTTCCTACCAGTACATGATAGGGTGTGGCCACTGTCTTCGCAGCTCTCTACCCAACAAGGAAGCCTTCACAAGATAAAATAATACTCTGGCTATTTGTGGGAGCAGAGGAGGTGAAACTAGGGATCGGCGGTCCTGATTTTCTGTCTTGAACTGAGCCTTTTGTAAAGCAGATCTGGGCACTGGGACTCTGCTTTGCCTTTCTGTTGGTGACTGTCCCCTTGCTTCAGAGGAGATAACTCTGCTCCTGAAGCCATATACCCAGCAGGGTGGGCAGAAGCCCCAGGCTCAAAGTCACATCTTCTGTACCTTTCACTTAAAGTAACTTTTTATTTAAAAACAGCACAATTCATAAAATAAAAGCTCATGTGGCAGTCTAACTTGTAAAACTGAAAGTAGAGCTCCTTTGACTCAAGAGTGGGAGTCCCTCAGAGTAGCCCCACAGCCTGTGCCTATGTACCTGCCTCACTGACTTCCAAGGGAAAGGGAAACCCTTGGTTTGAAAACCAACCAGTTAAAGTGACCCTGAAAGTAAGCATGAGCTCAAGTGCCTAGGTTCTTTCCAAAAATACATACATACATACATACATACATACATACATACATACACAAAAATAAATTTAAAAATCAGGGAGATTTTTTAAAATGTATTTAAATTCAAGTTCACAAAATCAGGGAGAGCATAAAAAAGCAAATGTTTTTTTATATTTCCTTGATGTCCAAGTTTCCATTTTGTGATGGAAATGAGACTAAGGGGAATGGAGAGGGTTAACATTTCTGGAGTTCTGTTCGGTCCCAGAGTGTGTTTTCACCCACTCTAAAATATAAAAACTTCATGTGGCAGGAGACATTAATAAAGAGTGATCAGCCTTCATTCAACAAAGAGAATGAACAGATCTCCTGCTGTGTTCCAGGCACTAGGCCCAAAGTGGTGAACAAAATTCAGACCCTGGGGACAAGGGAGCTTCTAATACAGAGGGGAGAGAGATCATAAGTAAGCAAACAGCTACAATACAGTGTGGAATGTTGTGAGAAAAGAAAAGGGCTGTGACAGAGAATGTGGAGGCTCTGGGTGGAGAATCTGCTTCAGAGAAAGACTCACTAGGGAAGTCTGCTTGGGGAGATGAGATGGAGCCAGAATGCTAGGGAAAGAGATCCTGGAAAAGCAAATGAGGTTCTAAAAGCAGAAGGCATCAGCATGGCCAAGCGGTGATGGGTGAGAGGAGGGGGCATGAGGTTAGCTGGATGAGACTGTGAGAGGCATCCCTCAGCCAGGCTAACCAGAGGAATTTTGTTGCAAGCCCAGTGGGAAACTGTTAAAAAGCTTTAAGTAGGAGAGGGGTGTGGTCCATTTATGTTTTGAAAAAATCACACTTGCTACTGTGTGGAGACCACGTTGGATGAGGGCAAGAGAGGAAGCAGGGAGACTAGTCGGGAAATTTCCAGAAGTCCAGACAGGAGGTGCCGGTGCTTGGGCTGGAGGAGGGCCGACAGAAGCGGGAGGAAGCGGGCGAATTGAGAAGAATGGGCAGGACCTGCAGCGCGCTGGGCGGGGGAAGAGGGAGACGCGAGCGGCAAGGGTGGCCCTCAGGTTTCTGGCTTGGAGCCTGGGTAGACAAGTGAGATGGGAGAGGAGTGGGGTGGGTGAGGGGCCCAGGAAGGACCTGTTAGGTCTGAGATGTCGAGAGAGCAACACAGGAATTCAGAGGCAAGGATTTAAGAAAACTAAGTGTACAGATGCTATGTACGCAGTAGGAATAGATGAGCTCTCCTGGGGAGACAGTGTAGAGAAAGGAGAGACCAAGTCGGGGAAGACATGGCCGCCAAAAAAGGGCTGAACGGGAGCAGCTGGCCAGGCAGGAAGACATGTAGAAGTGTGGGATGGCGTAGACACGAAAGAGAAGAGTGGCGGTTTTAGAAAGCTCTGGGGGAAGTGAATACTGCTGTCCGGGTCTGTCCATGCGCCAGACTCCCTGACAGAGCAGCGAGCTAGAGCTGGCCAGTGTCTCATAAAGAAAGGCGAGTGCTCTGATGAACAGGACGGCAACTTCCATGGTCTGCTGGGAAGGGTTCTCATGAATGCTCTTGTATCTTCCCTCCCCGGCCCCCACCTCCAGAACAAAATCCAAGGTATCATCTTTGATTTTGTCACTCAACAAGCCTTTGATATTGTTATCATGATGCTCATCTGCCTTAACATGGTGACGATGATGGTGGAGACAGATACGCAGAGCAAACAGATGGAAAACATCCTCTACTGGATTAACCTGGTCTTCGTCATCTTTTTCACCTGTGAGTGTGTGCTCAAAATGTTTGCCTTGAGGCACTACTACTTCACCATTGGCTGGAACATCTTTGACTTCGTGGTAGTCATTCTCTCCATTGTGGGTAAGTGGGATGGGCGAGGGGAGGGGAAGGGGACCTCACTGGCCTGGAGCATGAGGTTCCTGGGAGAGCAGCTGGCTCCGCGGGCGTGAAGTGCAGGCCCACTCCTGACACGGGCTGAAGCCCGTGCGCGTCCCTAAGCCATCCCGTGGGCCTCCCCAGTAGGTTACGCGGTCAGTGAGTTTCTCCTGCGTGTTCGTAGTGGTCTTGGATCGTGAATTCCCTTGTCGAGGGGGGGGCAATGATTGATTTTGTTGTGGCTGTTTGCTTTCAAGGAGTTTAAAGTTAACAGGGAAGGTAAAAGAAACTTAAAAAAAAAGAAAAAGAACTATGGCTGCAGTAGCAGTGGAAGAGGGGATGGTAGATTGTTAGGCTGGGTATTAAGGAAAATGGTCTAAGAGCATTCTGGTGGTGATGGCGGTGCTCACTTCACTGAGGTTTTACTGTGTGCCACGTACAGTATGAGAGTTTCTTCCCTGGCATTATTATCTCATTTGACCCATATGACAGCCCAAGAAGCAGGCTATTTTTTAACCTTCTGTAAAAATGTCCAAGGTCACCCAACTAGGAGGTGGCAGGGACAGAACTCAGGCTGGATCTTAACAGCAACTGTGTGACATTTCGCTTTAACCTAAAGGCATGCAAAGGGTGATACCTGGCAAGCAGAGGATATGGTGAAATCCTGGCTTGCTTCCAGGTAGGTGTAACTGGCGTTGGCTGGCAGAGGGAGAGTGCCGGAGGCCTGTGGGAAGCAGCCCCAGAACTGGCGGCCAGGCTGGCGTAGCAAGGTGTTCACCATGGGCTCCCGAAAGGAGCCGGCCTTCCGCGTGGCCTGTGTCAGTTTCTAGTTCTGTCCGCTGGACCAGCACGTCCAAACGCGTGTCGTTTCACGAAGCACTAATCCCATACATCTCCCCTGCAAGAAAAGAGCCTCATGATGAAATTACTTTGGGCAACACTGTACATTGAATTTCCCTCTGGAGGGTCACAGGGCACATTAGCCTTTAGAAGGTTCTTGGAAGCCCTATAGTAAAGAATTGTTGACCATCCTACCTTTATTTGATCACAGCATCCTTTTGCCAAGCGATGTGAAGGCTATCTCATGTTTTAATGGAATGTACTTTGTGCCGGTCACCTTTCTAAGTACTTATTTTCATTCCTGTAGTCCTCATGACAACTGTCTGAGTATCACAAGGAACTGAGGCACAGAGCAGTGACTAGCAGAGGCTAATATGCCAGTGAGCAGGGTTCAGGCCCAGCCCCTGGCCTCAAATCCACACTCCTAACCTCCCACAGGACCCACTTTGGACAGTGTTGCCCTGTCCTTAAACGTTTTCTGCCCACCCATCATTGAGTGTGATAGGAAGCCCACAGACCAAAGCATGCACCCTATTCTCAGGTGATACTCACAAGTAAAGAGGAAGAGTAGTATTGTTTTGGACGATAGGGATTTTTTATTAAATAGTATTCATTTGTTCAGAAACAAAAGAATAGAAATTATCTTTTTTAAGTAAGAGGAATTAGTGTAAAACTAGCCCTGGAACCTCCTAGAAGCCCCCTTAAGTGGTGTTCCTGCTACCCTAGAGTGCTGCCTACCCATCCTTCTCCCCTTTTCTCTGGAGACAAGTGCACATTGAACGTATAAAACCAAATGCTGGCATCTTCTCTCTGAAGCCCAGCTTGCCCAGCAGACACGGAATGCAAGTTTTACAGATGTCACCTGACTTCTTAGGGTCACCGGTTATGACTTAATTGAGACATTAAAAAGAAGAGAGCTGAGAATTTATCTTAGGTCCTGGCTGAGGTAGAGATTTTCTTGAAAGCTCAAATTCTTCATGGAATACGAGTCCTAGAAGAGGCCCCAAGAGGCTGTCCAAACTTCTTGCATCTCATCCCTTTCTGAAAGTTAAGATTCTGTCCTAGCTTAAAAATCTCAAATAAGAGTGGGGAGTGGGGGGCACGCTTGGCTGGCTCGATTGGTTGAGCATGTACTTCTGTCTCAGGGTTGTGAGTTCAAGCCCCATATTGGGCATGGAGACTACTTTAAAAAAAAAAAAAAGTCTCAAGTAAGGGGATTACATAGGCTTCTGCAGTTCACTCCCCCAGTATTTCTGAATCCTTAGGGTTGAAAGATATTTCCTTATTCAAAATAAATCCTTCCTGGGGCGCCTGGGTGGCTCAGTCGGTTAAGCGTCTGACTTTGGCTCAGGTCATGATCTCACGGTTCGTGGGTTCGAGCCCCATGTCGGGCCCTGTGCTGCCAGCTCAGAGCCTGGAGCCTGTTTTGGATTCTGCGTCTCCCTCTCTCTCTGACCCTCCCCTGTTCATGCTGTCTCTCTCTCTCAGAAATAAATAAAACATTTAAAAAAAAAAAAATAAATCCTTCCTGTCGGTAGAAGCTCGTATTGTCTCATCAGGACCTCAACAGCAAGAGAAGGCACTGAAGAAAGACAGTATGTCATTGCCTTCCCTTCAGCTTCCATGTCACAACCTTTGCGCGTCCCCTTCTTCCTGTGGTCCCTCACTGGGCTCCCATTATTGCTCTGCAGTGTTAAAGGCAAGTGGTCCGGCTGAGGTGGACTCCTGAATAAACAGAAACAGAAAAAGGGCCCTCTGACTTTACATGGTCACCCTCTTACTTTCATATCCCACTTATGCCTTGACATTTTCGTCTGTCGATGCTGTTTCTGGTCTGTGGCTTTAAACACAAGTCTAGAAGCTCAGGGTTAAAAGCCACTTCTGAGAGGTCCCTTTGATTTCCTAGGCTACTTTGGCAGGGTAGGGACATGGGACAAGAAGCCAAAAATGTCTTTTCAGAGCCAGGAAGATACTTGGAAAAGTAGCAGCATGGCAGAATAACTAAGCCATCACAGTCAAAGGGTCGTGAAGTCATGGGTGGCACCGGGACCTCTCATTCATTGTGAATATGGAAATCTGATAGCATTTTGGCCTTTGAATGAGAAGACAGATAAATGAGGACCTATTCATGAAACAGAATATGGTTTAGCAGTGAACATGAACAATCCAAAAATTATTTTAAAGCCAGAAGTCAATCTCCCAAACATAATGCGAAGTCTGAAAACCAAATTAGAGGTCTAAAGAACGTGTTCTGAAAAGAGAGATATGGAATAATTCTTTCGGCATAGTAGGATGCTAGGATGTGGTCTATCTGTATAATGGTTACAGGTTCATGCATAGCAAAATGATGAAGAGACTGGAATGATACACACCATCTCCAGGATTGCAGTTGCTTTTGGGGATGAAGAGAGAAAGCAAATTTGGTAAAATGCTAGCATCTGGTAAATCTGGATGTCAAGTGCATAGGTGGCTATTTTATTGTTTTCTCTGCTTTTCTGTATGTCTGAAGCATGCGACTTTCTTTTTTCACCATGAGAGCTCAGATTGACGTGTAAGGCACTGATTCTATGAAGTCCTTTGAACTTAAGGGCTTCAGTGCCAGGTGACATAGTAAAGAGAAAGGCGTCTCCATCCAGTCTCAGTAACATGTCTTCTTCTGTCCTCTTCTCAGGAATGTTCCTGGCTGATATCATTGAGAAATACTTTGTTTCCCCAACCCTATTCCGAGTCATCCGGTTGGCCCGTATTGGGCGCATCTTGCGTCTGATCAAAGGTGCCAAAGGGATTCGCACCCTGCTCTTTGCCTTAATGATGTCCTTGCCTGCTCTGTTCAACATCGGCCTTCTGCTCTTCCTGGTCATGTTCATCTTCTCCATCTTCGGGATGTCCAACTTCGCATACGTGAAGCACGAGGCTGGCATCGATGACATGTTCAACTTTGAGACCTTCGGCAACAGCATGATCTGCCTCTTTCAGATCACGACGTCAGCTGGTTGGGATGGCCTCCTGCTGCCCATCCTGAACCGCCCCCCTGACTGCAGCCTGGACAAGGAGCACCCAGGAAGTGGCTTCAAGGGAGACTGCGGCAACCCCTCAGTGGGCATCTTCTTCTTTGTAAGCTACATCATCATCTCCTTCCTGATTGTCGTGAACATGTACATCGCCATCATCTTGGAGAACTTCAGCGTAGCCACCGAGGAGAGCGCGGACCCTCTGAGCGAGGACGACTTTGAGACCTTCTACGAGATCTGGGAGAAGTTCGACCCCGACGCCACCCAGTTCATCGAGTACTGTAAGCTCGCAGACTTTGCGGATGCCTTGGAACACCCTCTCCGAGTGCCCAAGCCGAACACCATTGAGCTCATTGCCATGGATCTGCCGATGGTCAGCGGGGACCGCATCCACTGCTTGGACATCCTTTTTGCCTTCACCAAGCGGGTCCTGGGGGACAGCGGGGAGCTGGACATCCTCCGGCAGCAGATGGAGGAGCGGTTCGTGGCATCCAATCCTTCCAAAGTGTCTTACGAGCCGATCACAACCACGCTGCGGCGCAAGCAGGAGGAGGTGTCAGCCGTGGTCCTCCAGCGCGCCTACCGGGGACATTTAGCAAGACGGGGCTTCATCTGCAAAAAGACCACTTCCAATAAGCTGGAGAACGGAGGCACACACCGGGAGAAAAAAGAGAGCACCCCGTCCACAGCCTCCCTCCCGTCCTATGACAGCGTAACGAAACCGGACAAGGAGAAACAGCAACGGGCAGAGGAAGGACGAAGGGAAAGAGCCAAAAGACAAAAAGAGGTCAGAGAATCCAAGTGTTAGAGGCGAGGAAAAATGAAATCTTGTACAGATGTAAAACTCGCAAGCAAAAGATTGTTTACAAACTTCCTGAATATTATCAATGCAGAAGAGCTGTGGAGACACTTGAACCCGAAGATCTATACCAAACGTAGTCTGCTTACCTTGTAACACGGTTGCATCTTGAGCAGTGACCTGCCGAGGGCAAAGGACCCTGCTCCCTGGACTCACAGATTTTCTAACGCTTGGGCAGGTGATAACTGCATGTTCCACATCCGTCAATGCAACTTAGGACAAAACCAACAGGATACAAAAACCAGAGGCGAGGCTGCCGGGACCAGCATATTCCGTTGCAGCCCAATGGATTTTATTTATTTATTTTTTTTCATTTCGGTGATTCTCAGAAGCAGAAAGCATCACTTTAAAAAGTTTGTTCATGCAAACTATATTTGCATTCTTACATTAGTTAAGCTAAGCAGCAAAAAGACACACACACACACACACACACACACACACACACACACACACTCCCATCTAGCCCGTGTCATTTAATTGTCTGTTTCTTTGACATAAACCGCATCTTCTCCACATGGGCTTCACGTGGTTTGGAGATGGGTGGGGGAGAAGAATCAGGTTTCTTCAGGCTGAGGAGGACTTGCTCAGGCCGATTCCAAACATTGTGCTCGTTCAATGCGTAGAAATGATTTGCATGATGGCATGCTGTGATCAGAAGTCATGCATGAGAACCATACACCACAGGACACTACTAATCCTGTCCCCTGCACTGGGTCAGCCTTTGGACAGGACCCAGCCCGGCACCGTTCACTGTATTTGGAGGAAAAAAAAAAATGGTAAGCGTTCCATACCCGCTGCAATTCCTTAACGAATTCTTAGAAGTCTTTCATACACCTTCCAGGGAGGGAAACATAACCAACCAATTGACCACTACCACTACCAACAAACACCAAACCCAATCCGACAAGCAGATGGATCCGTTGTGTGTCTATGTTTAACAGACATCTCTAACATACAGCCATTGTTGCACATTGTGAAAGATGAACTATTTAATGCTGCTCTGTGTCCCGTCCGTGGGGAAACTTGGATCTCGAATGGCTTGTATTAATAATGTCACTGTAAAACCAAATCCTAGGGCTAAAAACAAAAATCAAAAAAAATAGTAATAATCAAAAAAGAAACAAACAAACCAGTTCATTTGTATCGCAATATTTACGATGATTGTTTAGCCTTCATACTGGAGAGCTGACACTTATTTGGGGCAGAGATACAAGCACCATTCACAGTGGCGTGTTATCTCTAGGGGGTGAATTGGGGAACTTCAGTTTTCGCTGGGGGTGTGGGGTGCCTGCTTCAGGTAGTGTCACATCCTTCTGCACTGTGGCTTTCTCCGGGCTTGGCTCCGGCCAGAGAGGAGTTCGAATATCCCGAACGGGCCTCTCCCTCGGCAGAGGGTTGTCAAGCTCACACACTGCATGATTCCTTGTGCTTCCATCTCATCTGTCCGCCAAGCAGGGTTTCCCTTTTACCTGCGCAGGTGGGTGAGGGCAGCAGCGCTGGGGCTATGGCTGTGGTTTCTTTGCGCATTCTAGACAATAAATCGTCACTGGTGGGACCCGAGGTAGAGAGATGGAGCCGCCTCTGAACCAAGCCCGCTTGGTTTCTTTATCGCACCGATTCTCATGAGAAAGCGATTCAATATTAATTCCTAAGACGTTGCAGCTCCCCCCCCCCCCCCCCCCCCCCCCCCCCCCCCCCCCCGCCGCCCTCCCGGCACATTCCCTTTCAGCCCTTGTCGATTTCAATTTCATGCCACCTGCTTAGCGACCTGTCATTGTCATTGGAGGGTGGCTTGGGGCGGGGGGAGCGTCCCGTCTTTCGGCCCCTCTCCCACTTTAGGGAAGACAGTTTTTAGTCCAGGGGTTTCTCATCCTATGACTAGATCTCAAAGCCAAGATGCTGCAGTCGAGAGTGTCAGGAAGCCTAGACAAAGAATGAGGAGAGACGTTAGCATGTGAACCAAATCAAACTAAATTCCTCCTGAACCGTAACATAGAGGGGGGATAAAGACACCCCCCCCCACCCCCGCGATCAGACACACCAGTCTGCCTCGTAGCAGAAGCGCTCAGTGGAACCACACATCCGCCTGACTAGTTTTGCATAGAACAAACACGGCAAGGCCGTAGGCAGAGCTTTCTATCTTCTTGGACCATTAGAAGCTTCTGCCCGGCTCTCCGAAGCCTGCTTCTGCGGCCTCCTCCGTAGAACTTTTGTACTACACACGACACCAGGTTGGAAAAGCATTTCTCTCAGTGACCCCACTAACCGCTAGGATGAATGTATAGTAACGTGTACAGGCGACGTCGTCAACAGCACAAAACAGACGCTGACGTGTGTGGCTATTCTTTTTAAGAGAATTATAAATACTGTAATATATCCTTTTATTTTATCAGCATGCCTTTTTGTAAATACAAATGATTAACTTATTAAATAGGAAATGGCTTCTGGCTTATGCCATTGTCATGTTTATTTTTATTTTTTATACGTTTCTTTCTTCTTAGAACTTAGATGCTGTCAGCCAATGTACATCCCCAAACCAGACAGACAGACAAAAAATTTTTTTATTGCTAATGGTCTTTTCCAAAACGACAAAAAAATATATATTTTTGTTCCAATGTGCAATAAATTCTAACCACTTCTATGCAAGATTTGGCTAAACTCCATCATTGTTCTTAGGTCCTGAGATGGGCAACAGTGCTAGAAGACTCCGCACCGCACCCCAAGTGCTCATGCTAGTGATGTCATGAAGCTACTAGAGCATATTAATGAGATTTTTCTAAGATCTGCCCTTTTCCCTTCCCCCCCGGCCCCCCAGCGGCTAGCTCCTCAGTAACACACATGGGCCTTGGTATCTGACACCCATCAGCCAGCTTTACAGGGAAGAAGCCACCTCCACTCTTATTTGATGTTTCGACTTTTTTTTTTTTTAAAGTTCTCCTACCTTCTCGTCCCTCCCCCACCGTCCCTCCGCCCACTCGCTCGCTCACACTCTCACTCACCCGCCCTGCTCCACACTTCTTTGGTAGTAAATGACACCATCACCAGCAGTTTACACCCGCAGTTTAACAGGCATTGAACCAGTGAGGCATTGAACCAGTGAGGACGATTTTGAACGCCCTCACGGGGTGGGTAAGTGGCAACGCTTTGCCAAATATTAACGAAGCCAATCAAAAAGCAGCAGCAGCCACAGTATCACTGCACATATATATATATAGATATATAAATATAATATAAATATTTATTTTTTGTAGCCGGGTCCTTGGTGCAGTATTTATACTCCACGATTCACCTTTAAAAAAAAAAAAAAAGGACAAAAAGCAAAAAGACGCGTGATGCTGTTCATTTAAAATGCAGAGTCAAAGCCACTGAGCAGCAGCTGACACGGTTGCTGGTCGGTGTGTGACAAACACGTTTCCCTCTTCTTTCCTTAACCTCCCTGCTGCTCAGGCTGAGGAGACCCCATAATTCGGAGGGCGAGAGCAGCAAAAATGTCCCGAGTCAACACGACCTACTCCCACTTCTCTAAAAGAGCCACCTTTGGTGTCAGAAGTTGACCGGGGAGAAATAAGCAGAAGCTCCCTGTCAAAGCCCCTGGAACGACAGTGCCCAGAGTTCTGTTCTTTTCCGCCGCAACCAATGTAAATTTGTAAAAGAGCACTAGTGAAGATTAGTGTATTAGTGACTGCATGGAGGCCAACACTGCTCTACATGAGACGTGATACAAAGTACAGCACTACTATAAGCCAAAAGGAAACAAAATAAAAATGACCCTTTTTACCGTACAAGGGAAGCCTGTCTTGGTGTCCGTTTGTTGCTTGACTATCCCAATTCTTGAGTCCTGGGAGGGGTCTGGGAATCGGGACCTTAGCACGTGTGGGGAAAGGAGGGGAAGAGAAGGGAGAGAAATCAGGGTCCTCTCGCTAAGTTCTGGCTTAGAAGAGAAGTAGAGACTGGTAAGAGAAAAGCAAGGTCCTGCCCACCAACCCCCCACCTGCCCCAGACTCCCACTCACCCATTGCACGTGATGTTCTTCCCCCTCCCAGGCCAGCGCTTCACCATCCACGAACCCCCTTCTTCACCAGTGCACCTGGCAGAGCCCCCAGAGATGATGTCAAGCCAACGCAACTGGGCTGGCCTCACTTTCGCCTTTCTCACCAGTATGCTAGGAAAAGAGCTATCCTGATACCCCAAAGCTCGGGCGAGCACGACGCCCATCGGTCTCCACTCTGCTGGCTAATGCTGAGCCCTGCCCTCCATCACCCCGACACAGATACCAGCAGACTACGGCTGGTCTCGTTCACACCTGTGCAGGGGAGAGGGGCACCGCTCCCCTCCCTCCCTCTGCCCTGCTTTGGGGACATCCCTCTCTAGGCCATGTCTCCTGGTCCAGGAACACTCTCAGGAGGATTCTGAAGTGCCCACTCTAGTCCGCTCCAGTAGCTCCACTCTGGAGAGAGTTGGCTGGTAGGTCAGTCCCCACCCCCCTCCCCTCGGCCCCAGCCTCCAGGCCTGCTGTGGAGGTGACATTGCCGTGGGTTACGACTTTGTGACTTGAGTCCTGGGCATCTTCTGTAACGATGCCTCTTTCTTTTCTCAGATGTCGCCCAAAGGTTTGCAAAAAGCTTCGTTCATTTTCAGGTACCCCCACCCCCTAAAGAATCGGCTGCAACTAGCCAGCCAGGGGGACATCAGGAGAGAGGAGGAAGTCTGGGTCGGGAGGGGCCCGAGGTTCGCTCAGGGTCTGCGTTGTGGCTCAGCTCTGTGCTCTCTTGGAAAAAACCTTTTCCAAGATTTCCTCCGTTCAAATGCTCCTGAGGCGCCCCCTGGCCCTGCCCCTGCCCCCCGCTGCTGTTTGCTGTACATAGAGGCTAGGTGGGGTGGGGTGGGCGGGTGTGCACGTGTGGTGTGTGTGTGTGTGAAGAATGTATATAGGTAAAGGGGAGCGTGGTCCAGTGGTTCCAGAAAAGGGACAGAACTCCTGTGTTCCATCCCCAGCTCAACCACTGGCTCGCTGTGTGGCCTTGGGCAAGTCACTTAACCTCTCTGTGCCTCAGTTTCCTCATCTGTAAAATGGGGATAATAATACTGACCTACCTCACAGGGGTGTTGTGAGGCTTTAACTAAATGTTTTGTAAAGTGTTTTGAGATACAGAGGCAAAGGCACTAGGGAAGGGCAAAGTATTATTTGGACTTAAGGAAGATGAAATGGTACCATAAATGCTGCTATTCTGAGAGCCATTTTAAACTGCACTGCTCAATCACCCCCGCTTCTCATCACCAGGACAGCAGGTCGAGAAAATGTCTTTCCTTTCACTTGCTTCTGGGGTTTGTGATTATTCTAGACACTTAATTTTTTTCCCTCGCTGTACCTCCTTCCCTCACCACCTCGACTTGTTCCCGGTTCCGTTTACACGGAAATGGCAGAAATGCTTGAGAAATGAGAATGCCTAAGTGGATTGGAAGTTTATAGTCTGAAATTTCAATTTTACTTTGTACTGTACATCTTTTTACTTTAGAATTTGCAATAAAGGGTTACGTCAATCTTGTTTTCAACTCTCCTCTTGGACTGGCCTGTCATTCTGTCATTGCTCTCACAGCAAAGCCCCTCGGCCCCCGCGCCGGGTCGTGGCCGGGGACAGACCCTCCCACACAGGAAGCCCCCACAGCTGTCCTCTTTGCCCTCCCCTGTGGCAAGGGACAGAGTCTAAGGGTGGGCGGGGCTTAGCTCCCCAGATGGGCTGGCAGGGCCCTGGTGGGTGGGAAAGCTTTGGGGCTCCAGGTGGACCTTCAGGGGTCCGGGTAGGAAGAGCAGCTTGGAGGCATCAGCCCCTGAAAGTGGGGACACCTCTAAATGTGCCACGTCCCACCCCACCTCCCCATCGCCCCCGCACACCCCGCCTCTTGTTCTGGTCCCCACCACGTTTGTCAAGCTCCCTTACTGGTCACAGATCATTCCCTCTGGGATTCAAACTTTCAGTTCAGGCAGCTCTGGGTTCAAAATGCTGACTCTGCCGCTAGCTAGTCATGGCCAGTGTCTTTATGTGTAATGGAGATCACACCTGCTTCTCTTGGGTTCTGAAGATACAAATAATGTACGTAACCTGCTCGGCACAGGGCCTGGCATACAGTTTGCACTCAATAAATGGTAGCGGTCGGTGCAAGGATTACTGCGAGATAAGAAGGCTGTAAGGCCAAGGGGGAGGGCCTGCCTCCCACCCCGGGTACCCTGGCACCCCAGCCCCTCCTCTCCCGCTGGCAGTCCCACCAGCTGTGCGGCCATGTCCAACAAACCAACCATCGCTCCCTCCTTTGCGTGTTTGGTAACGTTTATAATTCGGGGAAGGCAGCACTCTGCCGGGGCTGTGCTCCCGTTTTACAGACGGGGGCACTGAGGCGAGGGGGGAACGGCCCGCGGGCAGCCCAGGCCTTCGACGGCTCCAGCTGCTCTGCACACAGGGGCAGCCTGGCTTTCCGCCCGCCGCTCGCCTGGGCGGGCCTGCGCTGGGGAGGACCCGGTCCGTGGCCATCCTCGCCGGTGAGCCACAGCGTGAGCAGGACGAACAACGCCCCGGCGCCCAACGCCCCGACGAAGCCGGTGAGGAGGCCGAGCGCCAGCGGCCGGACCCAGTCGGCGGGGCTGCGCTCGTACGGCGCCTGGGGCAGACGCTCCACGATCAGCTGCAGCTGGTCCCAGTCGGGCTCCGGGAGCGCCGCGCGGCGGGGGCGCGGGGGCGGGGCCGGGGGCGGGGCCGGGGGCGCGGCGGGGGCGGGGGCGGGGGCGGGGGCGGGGGCTGCCGGCTGCCGCAGGTAGGGCTGGCCGAACTTGCGCAGCTGCAGCGTCGCCTGCTGGTGGAGGTTCTTGCCCAGCTCCCGGGCCACGTCGGGGCGGCCGCAGCGCCGCAGGGCCCTGGCCACGCGGTCCCAAGAGAGGGTCTGGGCCTCGGCCGCCAGCCAGTCCGCCAGCCTCTCCCGGCAGCCGTCCGACACCTCCGCGGGCTCGGCCGCCGCCCGCCGCCGCCGCAGCATGCCCGGTGGCTTGTACGTGGGCCCCGGCGTCTCCGCGCGGGCCAGCCGGTCCTCAGAGAGCCGGGCCAGCTCGCCCTCGACGTCCGGCTCTGGCACCTTTAGGAGCGACTGGAAATGGTCGCACTCCTCCGGGGTCAGCAGCTCGGCCAGACGGACGGCCGTGTGGGGGCCCATGGCATCCAAGGCCCCCGTCGGGGCCAGCACCCAGCCCCAGAGCGCCAGCGCCAAGGCCCAGGCACGGGCCTGCGCGGCCGTCGCGGTTGCCATCGCCCCCTGTGACCCGACTGTAGGGGGAGGAGCTCCGAACGCCCTCGGTGGGGGAGGGGTGCCTGACGGTGGCTGCAGCGGCGGCGGCGGCGGCGGAGGCCTCCCCTGACAGGGACTAGGGGCAAGGGGGCAGCTGACATTTGGGGCTTAGTGGGAATCTCTCAGCACCCAGAAACTAGGAGTTGAAAGGACCTGGAGTGAGTTTTTCAACACGGGCGGGGGGGGGGGCGGGGGGAGGCGGGGAGGAGAGACAGTCCCCTATGAGGATAGGATCCTGGGCCCTTCTATTAAAATGCCTGCCCTAGGCCTGACTCCCGGCCATCCCACTAAGGCCTCAAACTTAGCAAGTCTCCCACACCTCTAATAATCCATTTACGACCCCTCAGCCTCCAGCACAAGCCCTAGACCCCTTGCTCTCTATTATCCAATATCCAATCCCAAATTCTGGGACTACCAAATATTTATAGACTCTACCAATTACCATCCTCCCACGGGTACCTCCAAATAGTCATCTCCTCTTGTCTAGAGAAGGTGAGCTACTCAAATGCCCACTGCTACTGCACTCACGCTAGGGCCCCACTGAGCAAGTTTGGCTCCACCCTCCTTTGCATCTTGGCCTGCACACGTCTACCTTAGTCACTCCTCAGCTGACCAGTCCCTTCTGGGAAGCCCTCTCTGAACCCAGTACGTATCCTTTGCTCCTCTCCATTAGGGATCCCTCTTAGTTTCTCCCACAACCCACCGCAGTTCTGCCTTTTTACTGTCTCCTCCATTCAACTGGAAGGTCCATTTGTTGTTCCTATAGCAACGAGTGCAGAGTAGGTGTTCATTTCAGTGAAGATTTTTTGAATCAGTGTGTGAATTCTCAACTTGCAAATCGATCCCTGTCCACAAGCCACTGACCCCCTTCCTTTCTTCCAAACACATACCCATGACCTTCATCTCAGATCCTGGGCTCTTCACAGGGCGTGAAAGGTCCTCCTGCTGCAGCGGTTTGGTCCCCAGGATCCCTCCAGCCTCACTTCAACCCGCCTGCCGCACCCCCGACTCCTGCCCTCACTTTATGCTTTTTGCAACAAATCACAGCTCTGGTGGTTTCCAGCCTCCACAGCTTTGTTGGGCTGTAACCCCTCCAGGGAGTTTTTCTGACCCACCACCACAGGTCAGAATCTCTTTTGGGCATTCTTGAGATACCCTGTGCATCCTCCCTTGGGACACTTATCTGGAAATTGATTAATTGAAGGATTTATCCAGCATTTGTTGTCTTCCATGTACCAAATACTGTACCAGACGTGAGAAAATGTTTATATGATCCCTCCCCAAGCAGCTTTTTCCAGCTGTATTTTCAAATGATCCATTGTGGGGGCGCCTGGCTGGCACAGTTAGTAGAGCGTGTGACTCTTGATCTCAGGGTCCTAAGTTCAAGCCCAACGTTGGGTGTGGAGCCTACTTAAAAATTTTTTTTTTCAAATAATCCATTTTTGAGCTTTTCTTTTAAAATTTTTAATGTCTTTTATTTATTTTTGAGAGAGAGATAGAGACAGCGTGAGCAGGGGAGGGTCAGAGAGAGAGGGAGACACAGAATCCAAAGGCAAGCTCCATGTTCTGAGATGGCTGTCAGCACAGAGCCGGAGGCAGGGCTCGAACCCACAAACTGTGAGATCATGACCTGAGCCGAAGTCAGACGCTTAACCGGCTAAGCCACCCAGGCGCCCCTATTTTTGAGCTTTTCTCACCCTGTATTGTGGGCTTTCCAGAACAGGGGCTGTGCTTAACCATTTCTGTATCCTCAGTGCTACAGTGTCCACACTGAGTGTCCAGACCTCCAGGGGCCAAGAGGGTTGGTGGCTGAGTCCCAGGGCAATGCCCTAGGGCCTCCTTCTCCAGACACACAATTTCTCTCACAGGGGAAACTGCTTGCTCTGCAGGCTCTCCCCTCGGGCTTGCTTGGCCTCGGGAAAGCCCAGGGAAGCCCTGAGCCCATGCGCACACGTACTGCAGTCCTTGCCCTTTGGTGCATTTTCGGTCATTTTGTTTAGAACATTCCAAGCCTCCGGAAGTTGTGGGTCCACACCACTGACAGGCATCTACCTACAACTTTTTCAGCAAGGTCTTCCTTCCTAGTTTTCTCAGGCTCCCAGTTTACAAGCTGGCAACGACAGAGTTTGGGAATTGGCAAGATGGTGGTGGACAAAGGACTCCCACGTGGCCCTAAAGACTGGAACTAGGCCCTCTCCATACCCGCCCTCTGCCCCCTTTCCCTCCCTCCAAGAACAAAGTCTAATCTTAGTGCTGTCCACATTTTGAGTCCACCTTCCTCTTCAACCCCCCCCCCTTTTCTCCATGCTTTCATTCATTCATCCATTCACTCGTTCACCAAACATGTGAGCCCTTCTTTCCCCTCATTCTTTGGGGCTCTGCAGATAGGAGTCAGCCCCAATTCTGAGCCTCCGGGAGCCCATAACTACAGGAGGGCCTCCCTATCCAGGGGCTTCACGGCCACTAGCCGTAGCGCCCAATGCCTGGAAGGCGCCTGCTGTGCCAGAAGGAGGAACAGGAGACCCACAGTAATGGTTTACTGAAGGACTGGAAACACACGCAGCGACACGCGCCACTGCATTCCCCAAAGGGCTCCCCACATCCTGCTGCCCCCAAGAAATCCTCTGGACGCCACATGTCATCGCTTTAATACTGTGTAATACTTTCTTTTAAAATACAGTCTCTTCTGAGGTAGACAGACCACAACTGCAGAGCATCGTCAGACAGGAGATAAATACGTCCATGTACAACACGCAGCAAAATGAGGTAGAAATGGTTACAGCTGGAGGAGAGGAATCCAACCCCAGTCTGGGTAGAGGCAGAGGAGGGCCAGCTTGCCAACCCTGTCCCCCCGCCATCCCTGCCCCTGGATTCTTTGGTATGCCCCCCCAACACTGCCAGAGCTGGGCCTGTCCTTCCCCCACCTGCCCCAGTGCCCATGAGGTAGGAGTAGACCGGGGGCTGTCTCCTTGTGCAAAGCTCCCCAAGGCCAGTGGAGGAGGCAGTGGGGACCCTGGGTCTCAGTGAGCTCCTCCCCCCACCCTCAGCTGCCTGGAAGGCTGGGATCCCAACCCCACTCCCCGTGCCCTCCACCCCCACCCCCATATACATACACACACCTGAGAGAACCTCCTCACCCCTGCTCCCTCCAAAGGGCCCTTCACGGCAGAGTGGCCCACTACCTCTGAGGCACCAAAGCCCTGAGGCCAGCCAGCTCCAAGCAGAGGGCCAGAAAGACAAAGGATAAAAAGGGGGGGGGGGGGGGAAGAGCAGCTTTCCTGTTAGCACTCCTAGGCCAGCACAGGCCCTCGGCACCTTGGCACCTGGTGTCCCCTGTGGACACCCTTCCAGCTGGGAGCTGGAGATGGTAATGAGACCGTGGGAGCTGGAAGGGTGAGCAGGGAACAGGGAGGGAGGCCAGGGTGGGAGAGAGAAAAGGTAGGGTGAGGGCTCGCCTCCTGCTTTGGACCAAAGGTCAAAGTGGTGAAATGGACTCCCTGAGGGGAGAAATCAAAGGAAGCCCCAGCAAGGGAAAGTTGCTGGGAAGGAGAGGAGCACTCTTCTCACAAGGAAGGGCCCCCAAGGCTGGCTTCTGGTGGAGAGTTTGGGTGGGACTGAACATAAGCCCCCAGCATCAGGTTAAATGCCCATCCCCTCTGCCCCATCGAAGCCCCTGGAGCTCCCAACCGGGAAACACAGGAGACAGGGCCAGGCACGCTTTCCCAACAGAACCTTCTGTAAGTGGCACTAACCCCTCCTCAGAGCCTCCCAATGCACAGGGAAGCAGGATGTGTAGTCAGTTTTGTGCCCAACCAGACTTGCGGCCACATGGTCTTCTCTCCCGGGAGGGGGGGGGGGGGGGGGGAATCCTAAATTACAGATCTCTGCCTAGGGAAGGGCCAGATGAGATGACCACTCTGGGGACTTTCTGCCTCGGTCATCTTCCCATTTGGGTCCTCTCTTTTCTGGATCTGGGACAAGAAGCGGGGCAAGAGCATCCCTCCAGATAACCCTAAACAACAAACCCTAGGCTGGAGAGTGGGGCTCGGGGAGAGGGCAGCAGGACCTACCTCCTCTCCAATCTCACAGCCCCCACCCCCACCCCCAGACCTGGGGAGGAAGCCCTAGATATACATTCCACTTCTGTGCCAGGAAGAGCAGGGGTTTCAGTGTGGCTCTGGGTCTTCCCTTCCCGTTCCCCACAAGTTTCACTTTCTGAGTCTTCTGGGGAGAATTTGTTCCCCTGGGGGGGGGAGGGGCAGGGAACACACAGGAGAGCAGCCAAATTCTAACATTCTTTCTGAGGTCAGTTTCTTCCTGAGTTGTCAAAATAAAACGAAAAACAGCAAATTCTACACATCTTACAAAAATAAGAGGCCTAAAATATTAAACAAGCTACATTTCTGGGATTTCCCCCTCCAAAACAAACAAACAAACAAACACCCTTCTTTGGGTGTTTTGTTTTTTGTTTTGCTTGCCCTCCCCCCACCCCAAGGCCCGAGGATACAACTGGGTGAGGGATAACGGGGTGGGAGGGAACTCCCTACACCCTCCTCCTCCTCGGCCAATGGACTTCCAGATCTCCTGCAAAGGGACACTGCATTCTTTGAATGAGAAGGACCAAGGGAAACGGGCTGGAAAGCAAGGGGTGGAGACTGAAACACGCAGGGTCTGATGGAGCGATAGGGGAAGGAGGAGCAAAAGAGAAACAGGGCCAGCATATGAAGGGGAGATCAGTAGTGACAAAGCCACGGAGAGAAAAAACTACGCGAATGCAGAGAAGGGCGGGGGGTGGGGGGGACGCCTTCAGAGAGCGAGGAGACAAAGGGATTGTGGAGAGGGCGCAGGAGTTCCTTGGGCCCGGGGTGCCGGCCCATCGCGGGTCGGCCCGTCGGCTGGGCAGAGATGGCAAGCTTCCTGTCCACAATAAATAGGAAAAACCTGAGTACACAGCGCATATGGCATCTATCTGCCTAGCAGAAGCATTTTCCTTCCTACGAAAAAAAAAAAATCCACGGCAGCCCCGCCCCTCCCCCAGCCCACATTCATCACTCCGGCCCCCTCCCTGCCGGGTTTGGTTAGACATCCCCCTCCCGCACGGAGGGGCGGGGAGGAAGGGGCAGCTGCTCCCGCGACTTCCCGGCGCGCCGTCAGTGTCCGGAGCCGTACATTTTGTCCCATTCCACGTACGAGTCCAGATCCTTGGGGGAGGCCCTAGGGCCCACCTTGGCGAGCGCTACCTCCAAGTCCTTGTAGGAGAGGGGCCGCTGCAGCCCCGGGAGTCCCGCCCCGGCCGCTGCCTGCTGGCACAGCTGCCCCAGCTCGCCCCCGGAGAAGCCCTGGGTGCCCTGCACCAGGGCCGCGAGCTCCCGCTCGCTCAGCGCGCAACCCTGCTGGGCCAGCGCCCTCTGCAGGATCTGCCCGCGGGCGGGGCCGTCGGGCAACGCCACGTAGAAGCGGAGAGCGAAGCGCCTGCGGGTGGCCTCGTCCAGAGCCGCCGGCCGCGAGGTGGTGCCCACGACCAGCACGCCGTCCGCCCCTGCGCCGCAGCCGCCGTCCAGGCAAGCCAGGAGCGGCGCCTGCAGCGCGCCCGCGGCGGTGGCGCCGTCGTCCCGAGCCGAGAAGAGCGCGTCCAGCTCGCTGATAAGGAGCACTGCTGGCGGGCGGCAGCGCGCAGCCGCAAAGGCGGCCTGGAGGAGGTGCGCGCCCTCGGCGGCGCCCGGCGCGGCCAGCGTCGCTCCGCGCAGGCGCAGCAGCGTGGCGCCCAGCTGCGTGGCCAGGCAGCGGCTCAACAGCGCTTTGCCCGCGCCCCGCGGTCCGAAGAGCAGCACGGTCCGCGGCGGGCGCGGGCTGCCGGGATAGGCGGGCGGCCTGAGCAGCGGCCACACTAGCTCCTCCTCCAGCGCCGCCTTAAGTGCGCCCTGACCTGCCACATCGGCCCACTGCACCGGCGGCCCGCAGTCCACCATCTTGCTCGTCACCAGCTCCAGGGCCCCCGGGTCCACACCTTTGGGCGGCTCTCCCGACGGCACCCCGAAGACCCCGCGGGGGGCCGGCGCCGGAGCGCGCTCCGGGAACTTTTCGAAGGTCTCGAGCTGCGGGCCGTAGACGGGAGAGCCCAAGACCTTGAGGGGGACGCCGCCACCGTACTTGACCGACGCCTCCTCCGCGGCTCCCGGCGGCTTCGGCCGGAACCCGTTGCCCCGACAGTCGCCGTTGTCCGTTCCGGGGTAGGAAGTGCCGTCGGCCGCCGGAGCCTTGGCGGGCTCGTAGACGTACTTGCGGTAGCGGCCCTCCGCGCCCTCGTCGGCGGCCTTGCGCTTCAGCGACACCCCGGCCTCGGCGCCGGGAGCGGCCGCCTGGAAGCCGTAGGAGGTGGGCGCCGGCCGGGGCGGGGCGGGCGCGGGCAGGGGCGTGGGCGCCGCCAGGCCAGGGGTCAGGTAGGGGGCCGGGGGCGGGGCCGGGGGCGGTGGGAGAGCCCCGTATCCGGGCTGCGCGGCGTAGCCCCCCGCGGGGTAGTTGTACAGGGGCCCCGAGGGGCCATAACCCGGCGGGGGTGGCGGCTGCAGTAGCGCTGCGGGGGGCGGCGGGGGCAGCGCGGCGCCTGTCTGAGCGCAGTAGCCGGGGGCCAGGTACCCCCCGCCGTAGCCCGCTCCGTACTCGGGCGCCGTCGACGGGCCTCCGCAAGCGTTGCCGGCGTAGAGGGGTTCAGGCAGGTTCCCGGCTAACACCGGGGAGCCCCCGAGGCCCCCGGAGCCGCCCCCGCCGGCCGACTTGGTTCCCGGGAGGCCTTCGTGGAGTGAGGTCAAGGGGTAGGGTGGCTCCGGCCCTGGCCAGGGCTCGGGGTCCCCTTTGGCGCCGTTGAGGAAGGCGGCGTCGCCATAGCCGCCCAGCGCGGGGCGCTCGTAGGGCGAGTCCAGGACCCCTGAGTACTTCTCCGCGTAGCGCTTGAGGAGGTTGGAGGCTGTGAGGGCAGAGATGTCGTCGTGTGCCCAAGCATAGTGGCAGCGCTGGCGACCCCCAGGGGGCAGCTCCAACTTGTGGGCCGGCGATGGGGTAGTGGAGGAGACGTCCAGGTGCTGCTCTGGCCACTGGTTGAGGGGCTGGGCGTGTTCCGGTGTCCAGTGCATCTTCGACAGAGCTGTGGGCGAGAGGGAGAGAAGCGCCTAGAGAAATCCCGCAGAGCCTCAGCGCACCCGCCAGCCCCGGGCCAGGCCGCTTCGATGGCAGCTTGGGACAGGCTGCGCTCCACCAACCACCCTTCCACCCTCCGGGGCCACCCTTCTCCAGGCACCAGATACACAGTACTTGCCTTCCCCAGCACGTTCCAGGATTAGAGTTTTCTGAAAATACCTTCCTCAGAGAGATCTGGAAACGATGTTTGACCCTAACTTCACCTTAGAGGCACTACTATGATGACTTTGTCCCAGCCACATAAGTGCTGCCCTCTAGGGTCCTTACTTTCAGTCCCAATGTAATTGAAGGGTGAGAAACCCCACCGCTGGGCATAGTCAAACCCAGGTGGGGCTCATTCAGTAATACCTCTTTGCTGCACACCCACCAGGTGCAGGCAGGACAGAGGCACTAATTTGTATAAGGATGAATGGCCCAGCAGTTGGGTGCTCTGTGCACCTCAGCCCTCCCCGGGATTCCAGGGCCCCCTCTGGGCCAGAAGTCAGAGATTGCAGTGTCTGTAGGCAGTACCTCATGGTCCTTGGGAAACCCCAGGGGCTGACCCAGAAGCATTCCCTTCCTTTCCCCTTAGTTTCTTTCAGTCTCTGCTGGATGAAGTCAGAGCACCTGGGTTCCAGACCCACCTCTGCACAAGCTGGCTGTGTGCCCAGGTGGGCGCTGCCCTCTCCCTCATTCCCCAAGTGAGTTTCACCACAGTGCAGAAGCGTTATTTAGAATAGACAAATCATATTCCAGAGAAGAGGGCGGGATAGTTAGTACACATCATGGAAAGCGGGTCACAGATTTGTTTCTGAGCTTCCCAGTAACCAGATAACAGGTTGCAAGATAAAAAGCACTGAGCATACTCAAAAGAAGCAAAAATGTTCCGGAAGAAATCTCGGAACATTTTTTTTCATGGACCTCAGGAAGCGGACCTGCGAGATGTAATAAACAATGTCCTCTTAGCCATGCCATAAGCATGGCAGAAATGTCCCACAGAAGTTTCTTAACCCCAGCCCTGAGCACCAGTCAAGGCATGAGCCAAACACTGGTTGGTATTCAGGGCCCTGGGGAAAAACTCTTTCCAGGCACATGTCTCCAATGGGCTGGCCTGATCTGAGGACTAAATTTCAAAGGTGAAATGGGCCCATGGCATGCCAGAGACCGTTTTTTGAGAAGGACTGTTTCTCAAACCTAAGTGTTTGATAAGACTGTTAAGCTTACAGGTTCAATATTCTTCCTTCAAATTTTTATTGAGCGAATACTCAGTGTTGTGCTAGGCAGAGGGGCAGATTGAAAGATGATATGGTGGTAGACAGGTAGACAACATCTTTTGTGAGGTGGGAAAATAGAGGTGTATGCCAGCGGCTCTGGGGCTCAGGGAAATGTGCCATGCCTGGCTAACGGGACCTCAGCAGGGAGGAGATGTCTTTACTGGACCTTGAAGGGTGAGGGACCAAGTTGGCCAGGCAGGCTGGAGGGTTCTAGCACAATGCATTCAGAAAGCCAGGGCTATGTTAGTTAGTTTCCACGCCCTTGTCCCTTCCTCAAGACTCTTTACTGCCCCCTTCCGGAAAATTGTCATAATCTACAAATGTACTGTCTTCACAGGGTGAATCATGCCCCTTCAGAAGGGCTCATGTTCAGTGTGCAATGTGCATAACCGTACACTGCAAGCCTGGGGGGAGTACAAAGGAAGGTTGGGTCACCAGAGCCTTGGAAGTGGGCAAATGTGGGGGGAGTGGTAGTAGAGGCTGCAGGTCAGCAAGCGACTTTGGGGTTCTCCACCGTTGCCCTTACTTGCAGCCGCCTGTGGACAGCACCATCTCTGTGGATCTCACTACCTCCTATGGCTATAGGGCCTACTGTCAAACGAGAGGACATTGTTTGAAAATAAAACTATATTCTCATCCCCACTGCCCTAAGGCAGGCATGAGCCATAGGCATAAAGCTAAAAAGGGAAGTAGACTTCTTTGAGGTGGAGGAGATCCTGGCCACCAATGGCAAGAGGTTCAGAGCAGAGACGGCAGACCTGAGTGTGAGGTCTCTGGAGGGCAGATCTGCAGCTCTCCAGCCCCTGCTGAGAGAGGTCTCTACAGAACAGAGTCATTGCCTAATGTCAGAGGGGGTAATTTCCTGGGACAGCAGAAATCACAGGCGGTCCTGGTTTGCAAGGTTATACGGCAATATGACATCAGAATTCTACAAATGCAAATACTGTGTTGTGACAGGGACCCCAAACCTTTTATTTTCCTATTCACTGTTATTTGTGCTCTGCCTTCTTAATGTGGAGAAAGGAGACTTGACCTTGATCACACTTCCCCTTAGCATGTGGGGGGGGAGGGGGGGAACATGACCCCTCAGAAGGACAGAGACACAGTAAGGACAGAGACACAAGTCTAGATCTGGACTTGTCAAAGACTTCCTTCACCCCCTGCCGGACCCTCTGCTCTCTGCTCACCCCACCCCTCACCATCTGTCACATGCTCTCTTCCCTGTCCCTCTCAACTCCTGCCCTGGCCTGCAGCAGTCTCCACTCAAGTCCCCACCCTCAAGACCAGCATACTCAGGCCCTGGTCACCAGCGAACCGCTCCATCTCAGCAATTGTGGACTCCGGGAACACATGTCCAGCCCTCCAAACCTGCCCCCACAGCCTCACACCCACTCTCCCGGGCTTCGCCCTTTTAGGAGGCTCCTAGCCCCTCTCCAGAGGGAACCTGTCTAGGTAGGTAGCTCATGCCACCTACCTAGTTGCCCCCCTCCACCACCTCAGATACTGGCCCTTCCATTCCAGGTAATGGAATTTTAGCTAAGGGCACCGCTGCCTCACTTCTGGCCTTCCATTTTCAGCTTTATCTACAGCCACTTCGCAATCCAGCAGGGACCTTGTCCCCGTCAATGAATTACTCCACCCGCTGACTCCCTCCCCACAGCAAGCTTAATTCTTTCCCACCTTCAAAAAGCCCTCCGGGACCCTAAGCCCCCGCTAGCCACCAGCCCATCTCTCTGCCCCTTCTTCGCATACGGCCTCTGCTGAAGGTCCTTTAGACCACTCATTGGGGAGCAGGGGACTGAGCCAGCAGGTTCTGCTGAACTTAGTCACATAGACTGCATCTGGAGACTTCTCTCATCTCTTTCTAAGAGGAGAACAAAGGTCTGGCCACAACCAAACCGCCCAAGGGAGCAGGCTCAGTCAACCAACCCGAGGAAAATGAGGACAGAAATGTGCAGGGGCGCCTGCATGGCTTACTTGGTTAAGCATCCCACTTCAGCTCAGGTCATGATCTCACAGTTTGTGGGTTCGAGCCCCAAGTCGGGCTCTGTGCTGACAGCCAGCTCAGAGCCTATTTTGGATTCTGTGTCTCCCTCTCTCTCTGACCGTCCCCTGCTCACACTGTCTCTATCTCTCTCTCAGAAATAAACATTAAAAAAAAAAATCAGAACAAAAATGTGCAGGAGGGGAAGGAGGTGAGGCTGCCTGACCAGCACACAGGCTGAGAGTGCTGGTCTGGGTGAGCCTGAGGATGCCGCCGCATGCACGAATGCACGTGGGCCCACGTGCACAGACACATGGTCTCAAGCTTTAGGGGCAGTATGAGTTGGGTGCCTCCTGACACACCCATGCCCACAACAGCCTTGACTTCCTCCCTTTCCTGACTCAGAAGGGGTGGGAGGAGGACAGGGGTAGACCATACTGTCTCCCTTCCCCACCCCCCCAGGCCAGTTACAGCCCTCCTTCTCTCACACAGAGACCCTGGGCCTGCGCAGGGCCCGGCCCGCAAGCTCCTGCCATTCAGCCTCCTGCACCTGGATGGTTTCCTTCCAGGTTCATAGGCCACACACGAGTGCCGTGCATCAGCAGAGGTGGAGGTAAGGAAAGGCCCCAGGGACCTGTGGTAAGTGCGCGCTTTGAGTCCGGGAGACCTGGGTTTGAATTCGAGCTCAGACACTGTGTGACCCTGAGCAGATTACCTGACCTCCCTGAACCTCTCCACCTGTTCAAGTGCATAACATATTCTTTGAAGGGTGGCCACGAAGATTTAAAAAGGTAATGTAGAGGGGCACCTGGGTGGCTCAGTCAGTTGGGTGTCCGGCTCTTGCTTTTGTTCTTGCTTTCCTCAGGTCAGGATCTCACAGTTCAAGGGTCAAGCCCTGCATCGGGCTTCATGCTCACAGTGCAGGGCCTGCTTGGGATTCTCTCTTTCTCTGTCCCTCTGTAGCTCAGGTGCTCACACTCTCTCTCTCAAAATAAATAAATGGACATTTTTTTTAAAGATGATGTATATAAAATATATATGTCTCATGTAAGGTACAAAATAATTTGATAAATGGTACCGTTAAGAACCCAGGCAGTGGCCTGACATTGCTGAGTGACTCAGAATAACCACTAGGGATTGGAGGAACTTGGGAAAAGTTCTGTGAGGGAAGCTCCTTCCAGCTCTGATATGGCAGATTGGCCCTTGTGCCATCCTCAGCCCCCGAGCACTCCAGCACGAGGGGCAGGGCCAGCCCCTTGTCTGTGCCTTCCATGCATTGTCTCACGTGGCCCTTACAATGGCCCTGTGAGATTACTACTATTGTCATTGTCCCCCACAGATGAGGACACCGAGGTGCAAGGAGATGAGTACACCCCAAGGTCACACCGCTGTTACATAGTGGAGCAGGATTCAGACCCAGCAGTCTAGCCACAGAGCCCAGGCTCTTACTCTTGGCTGCACTGCCTCCCTAGTCTAGGCCTTGGTTCTCACAGCCAGAGAAGAACCTGACCCCATGACAGCCATTATCGTGCTCATCTCCTTGGTCCTGTGGAAGCCCGGTGCTGTGTTTGCCTGGGGGCCTGGGTGCGCCTCACAGTGCTGTGTATTTATCCTTCAAATCCAGCTGGAATCACCTGCCCACTGGGGGGTCCCAAGTCTCCTGTGCTCCCCAGCAGGAAAGGATTCCTGTCCTCACCACAAAAGAGCCCAGGAGAAACGGTCTGGTCTGTTAGAAGTACTCACACCCCAGGCTAGGCAGACAGGTCTTTGGGTCTGCGACCCTTCCCCAGGGCTGTAGGACCCTAGAGGAAAAGAACTCCCTGCAGCTGCGCTGTCTGGGAAGTAAGGTCAGGACGCTGTGTCTCTGCAGCCACCTGAAGGCCAGGGGCCCTCCTCCCTGTAGGAGGCTGGAATGCCACTGGACTCCAGCCACAGAGTGCAGCCTTCAAACTCACAGGTGCCTAGTAAGTAGTAATGGCAAGAATTACTGGATAGAAGGGTAAGCAAAGAGTCCTTTAAACTCCCCTTGTTTTTAGGAAATCTTCCAGGGTGGATGAGAGACGTGATCGGGCCTTCGCAGTTGGTCCCGAAACCCTTGGAACGCCGTAAGTGTAAGAGCAATGGGAGCACCTTTCCTTATGGAATGGCGTTGCCTTCAGTCCCTAAAATTGCTTCAGAGCCATGAAGCCAAAGGGGGTGGGTTACTCAGAGCCCCAAGGTAACCTAAGGAGAGAGGCCGGTTGCCCGAAGAACAAGCCTTGATTAGAGGGTTGTCACTTTCTTTTTTTTTTTTTATTTCTAGGAGAGAGAGACTGTGTGAACAGGGGAGGGTCAGAGAGGGAGTCACAGACTGAAACAGGCTCCAGGCTCTGAGCTGGCAGTCAGCACAGAGCCCGACGCAGGGCTCGAACCCACGAACCGCGAGATCATGACCTAAGCGAAAGTCGGACGCTTAACCGACTAAGCCACCCAGGTGCCCCAAGAGTTGTCACTTTCAATCACACCCCACATCCCCCCACCCAAGGGAGAGGGGCTAGAGCTGAAGCTCAGTCACCAACAGCCAGTGATTTCAGCAATCGTGGCTCTGTAAGGAAGCCTCCGCAAGACCCTGAAAGGACAGGGTTCGGAGACCTTCGGGGTTGATGAGCACATGGACATGCAGGGAAGGGCCTGGGGGCTCCACCCCCACACACACACCTTGCCACAGGCATCTCTCCCATCTGGCCGTTCCTGAGTCACACGCTGTCATAATAAACCTGTGACCTAGTGAGTCAGCTGGGGTTTCTGGGGTTCTTTCAGCCCCTCTAGCACATTAATGGGACCCAAGAAGGGAGGGGGTCATGGGATATATAGCCACAGGTCAGAAGCATGGGTGGCAGCCTGGACTGTCGACGGGCATCTGCAGTGGGGCAGCCTTGTGGGACGGAGCCCTTGGCCTACAGGACCGGGTGCTGTCCCCAGGTAGGCGGTGCGCTCAGCCTGTAGGACATCCAGCTGGCGTGACGGAACTGGTTGACATGTGGACACCCTACAGGTGGTGTTGGAGTGGAGCTCGTGGCAGCGTAGTGTGAGGATAAAGGGGGGACACGCAGGGAGGGTGATTTTTCCCTCACACAAGCCTTTAGACACTCCTCCTCCTCCCCTACCCTGGCGTCCCAGGGCCGCAGACACCCCTCCTTACTGCGACCAAGGCCAAGGCACCTAGCGTCTCTAAGCCTCACTTTCTCCAGGCGTCAAAGGACGGTTGAGTGAGGCAGTGGACGGCAAACTTTTCTCCCACCAGGAACCCTTTGAGTCAGTTTTATACAAGATGCAGTGGAGGGGACCCCAGCCACGCAGGGCCAGCACCCCCCTCCAACACCATAAGGAGCTGGAGCTTACAGAAATTCTCGGGATTCCGGGATCCCGAATGCCATTACCCATGGCCAGGGCTGGGGGCAGGATAGGGAGGAGGGCAGCTGTGCTGCGGCTCCAGACCTGAGTGGGGAAGGCACAAGGCCGTCCTCAAGCTCCTCCGGGCTCCATTATCTCAGCCTGGGACAAAGGGGCCCGAGTGGAGAATCCCATTGTGGGGCCGCCTATGGAAATCTCATTAATCTATTCACCACGGCTCCCACAGGCCTTTTGTCCCAGGCTTTTTGTCTCCTGCTCACAACTGGTGCCCCCGGGGGTCTCTGGCCGCCTGGCAGAACTCTAAACTGGACTGTCCCCCCCTCCATCCACTGGGCCCTGCCCTTTCGTGCCAGCCCCCAGTTACTGCAACAGGAGAGGAGAGGGAGGGGCGATGAGGGGAACCCAGCGAGGACTGGTCACCTCCCGCAGCCTTGCACCCGCCACAAGTCCTCTGCGCCAAGGCCAGGCCAGAGAGCGCCCCTGACCCTGCCTAGGGAGCCCCTCGGAGCTGGCACAGGGCCTGGCATGGGCAGGGCTCAATATAGGTTTAAGGGATGAGCCGAAGGAGGTCAGAGAGGCGGCTGCCAGACTTCGTGTTGCAAGGGCTGCAGCCTGTTGTCCTCAGCTCCACGGTCACATGGAGCCATCAGGCACTTCATGACGCCAGTGGGCCAAACTGGCTGTTAGAGACGCAGAATTGAACCTAACTGTGACCCATCCTCCGGGACTCTATCTCTAACAGGAGAGAGAAGGTAAAAGCGGTCATGGCCAAAAGAAATAAAGGGAGAGAAGAAAAGAGAGAAAAGAAAAGAAGGAATTTGGATGGTTCAGAGACAGTTGAGGCTATCTGTGGCAGCCAGGGGATCACGGCAGCACTTCAGTGTTTTATTTATTTTTGATAGACAGCATGAGCGGTGGAGGGGCAGAGAGGAACAAAGGATCTGAAGCGGGCTCTGCACTGACAGCGGCAAGCCCAATGCAGGGCTCAAACTCATGAACCATGATATCATGACCTGAGCCGAAGTTGGATGCTCAATCAACTGAGCCACCCAGGAGCCCCTCAGGGCAGCACTTAAAATGCATGTGTGAGGTTGGAAGGCTCGGGGTCTGCATGGACTTGAGGCCAGTGAGAAGGGGACCTGAGCTGAGCAGGGAATGCTGGCACATCGGTTCAGCCCTCACTCACTGCCCACAGGGCCCCACCTAAGTAGACAGTATTTACAGACCACAACACTGAGTCCCAGGGAGGAGATGTAGCCTGCCAAGGCCCGAAGGGGCCGCCTCCTTCTGGTCCATGTTTTTCCCACCTCTACAGGCTGTGGTCAGGCAAGGATGTAAATCGGGGAACAGGGATTGGCTCTCAAGATCTGAACTCTCCCTCCCTGTCCCCAAACTCAATCCCGGCCTGGAGAATGGTAAAGAACTTACAGCTGGTGAGGGCAGGGGGAGGCCCACGGAAAGATGAGGACTGGAGCACTCGCTGTGAGCCCGAGGGGTGGGAATGGTGCAATTCCCTTTGTGGCTCAGGGCAAGTTCTGGTCCTCTCTGTTTACTGTCGGTGGACAGCACAGGCCTGTCTGATACCCCAGACCCCTTAGTGCAAGCCAGATTTTCTCTGCACACACAGGGCCTACAGAAACCTAGAGAAAATCAGCACTGCTCGCTCAGGCCTCCAGACTGTTGCCAACACAGTTGCACCTGTCAGAAATGCCCTCCCTCTGCCAACGCACCCTCTCCCATCCTTCAGGGCCATGACGGGGGTTCGACTTTCATACATCCTCCCTGGCCACTCCCGGCCTACAGACCCTTTGCCTTCTTGGGTAAGCTGGATGAAGCCCCTCTGAGCAGCAAGAACAGAGGACAGTCCTCCTCTGTGCACGGATCCCATCCGTGCTGTCAGTGCTCAAGGCCACTGTCCCCTCCATTCTCCCCCCACCCACCCTAGAGGATCCTCTCATCAGCCCACAAACATATTGTTATTTCTCCCATTTTAAGAGGGGGAGAGAAAAACCTCAAAATAATCTCTTGACACCTTCTAGCTACATCCCATTGCTCACTGCTTCCTTTTTTACCAAAACAGTGTAAGAGTTGCCTGCACTACTATTTCTGGTTCCTCCCCTTCGGTTCTCTCTTAAATGTGCTGTGTCCCGGCTTTCACACCCAGCACACAGCCACCCATGTGCATGGCTACCTTGTTAAATTGGTGATCAGTCCAGGGGCGCCTGGGTGGCTCGCCCGTTAAGCGTTTGACTTCGGCTCAGGTCATGATCTCACAGTTTGTGAGTTCGAGCCTCATGTCCAGCTCTGTGCTGACAGCTCAGAGCCTGGAGCCTGCTTCCGATTCTGTGTCTCCGTCTCTGCCCCTCCCCCAGCTCATGCTCTGTCTCTCTGTCTCAAAAATAAACATTTAAAAAAAGAATTTAAAAATAAATAAATTGGTGATCAGTCGATCATCCTTCCTTCCTGAAACTTCCTTACTGGGCTGCCCACCCACCCCCTCTCCTCTTCAGCCTGTTTTACTGCCCCCCCACCCCACCCCCACATACACACAGCTTGAAGAGCCCAGGCCTCTGTCCTCCAAGCCTTCTTTACACATTAATTCCTTGGAGACCCCATCCAGTCCCGTGGCCTTGACCAGTGTCAGTACACTGAGGATTCCTAAACATGATGCTCCCGCCTAGATTCTCCCCTGCGCTCCCCACTGGCACACTCAGTGTTCTTCCTGACGTTTAATTGGCTGACATGTCCAGGAATCAAACCTCTGACTTCCTCTCCTCACCATCTCTTCCCTTCCCCCCGCCCCACAGCCGCCCGCTGTGGATCTTCCCTTCCCTGTCTTCCCAGGCTCAGGAACTCCAGACCGGCAGCTTCATCCTTACTACTTGCTCAGGCCAAGAACCCTGGGGCTGTCAGTAACTTCTCTCCCTCACACCTCAGACCGGCCAGCTCAGCTTGGCCCTTGCTTCAAAATCTAATCAGAAAGCAACCATCTCTCCCCCGGGTGCCTGCAGCAGCCTCCTGTCCCACCTCCCATCTCTAGCCGTGTCTCTCTGTTCTCTGTGTTCTCAGAAGAAAGGCCAGTGTCCCAGGGGCCTGGCTGGTGCAGCCTGTAGAGCATACGACTCTTGATCTTGGGGGCTGGTCTCAGGGTTGTGAGTTTGAGCCCCACACTGGGGGTAGAGTTTAGTTTACAAAAATATGCCAGCGTCCTCCCAGGGGCCCCCCAGGTCCCAGTGATCTGCTTCCCCTTAACCCCCCTCTGCTCTGCTCTGGCCACACTGGCCTCCCCACACAGGCTTGCTCCCACCTGTACTGGCCCGTACCCTCAGGTGTCTACAGTTGTCACTTCATCTCACCGTGTCCCCTCAACCTGTTTTTCCTTGTGGCACTCGTCGTAATCTGTCCTGGTTGCTTTACTGACCCCACTAAAAAGTTCCTTGAGACCAGGGAAACAATGGTGTAAAAGTGCCTGCGGGGGCGCCTGGGCGGCTCAGTCAGTTAACTGTTGGACTTCGGCTCAGGTCACGATCTCCCAATTTGTGGGTTCAAGCCCCGCGTCGGGCTCTGTGCTGACAGCTTGGAGCCTGGAGCCTGCTTCAGATTCTGTGTGTCCCTCTCTCTGCACCTCCCCTGCTCACACTCTGTCTATGTCTGTCTGTCTGTCTCAAAAAGAAACATTAAAATAAATAACATTTTAAGAAAGTGCCTGTGCTGCTATTTCTGTTTCCTCCTCTTCCATCCTCTGTCCCCAAGCACCTAGTACAGTGCCTGGCACACGGTAAGTTGTGTGGTTTGTTTGTTTGTTTTTTAAGTTTAATTTTGAGAGAGAGAGAGAGACAGTGTGAGCCAGGAAGGGCCAGAGAGAGAGGGAGACAGAATCTGAAGCAGGCTGCGGGCTCCAGCCTCTGAGCTGTCAGCACAGAGCCTGACACGGGGCTCA